TTAATTTTTTTTTTTTAAACATTATAACTATGAATAGTTAGTTTTGACTTAGGCATCTGACAAATAAAATATACAAAGGGTTATTCAACTAATTAGACCCATTTTGAAATATGGATACAATCTTCTTCTTCTTCTCATATCACTCGCATTGATATGACTCTATTCATGATATTGAATGAGTCCAATAGCAATTTTGAAGATGTTGAAGACTTTGAAGATCTCGAAGTCTTTGAAGACTTCTGAAGTGAAGAGCTTTTGAATGACTCGAAGTCGCAAAGTTCACAAGAGAGTCTAGATAAGAAGTTCTACTTTCCTTGTGTGCTCTGAAAATCGAAAGCGAACAGCAAAAAGCTTTTCCTGCTGCACTTATTGTTAACCAAATGAAACTTATGTGGCACTCGAGTGTGCATTTACTTTTAACGTGCCAATCAAAGCGTAAAAGATTCCGAAAGCAAAGGGAACGAGACACCGTAATACTCGTCGATGTTTACGCAGGAAATTGCGGCTTGGTATCGGTTAACCGTATCAGTTCCGAGGAGTTTGTTTCGTTGAATAGCTGGGGCATATTTGTCTTTACACGGGTGTGACGTTAGCTTCCCTCACAATTTTTCAACTGTTTAACTTCTTAGGTTTTCAATTTTATAATTTCTTAATTTTTTAATTTCTCAATTTTTTTGGACTTCTAAATTATTCCATCGCCATATCTCTAAATTTCTAAATTCTTACGTTCTTAATTTTTTAGTCCATGAATCCTTAAATTCTTGTATTCCTACATCCCTTAAGTTCAATGTATCCAAGTCCTTAAACTCCCAGATCTCTAGATTCATTTTCTACAAATTCTCAAACCCTTCTATCTAATGTACAAGAATACATGTCATTGACTGCACCATTATAAATATGAAAAGAAGACAATATCTAAAAGACCAAGTCAATGCCTAAAAGACCATTCAATATAAAAAATGGAACTTAAGTAAAATAATGAATAAGTACAGTTTTCGAAAGGTATAGAGTGGCGAAGAGAATGATCCGAAATGGTTGCCATATTGGCGACGATGTGTCACGGTTGGGCGACAAACGAACGCGTTAATTGATCTCGGCAGTCCTCTGGGCGATTAATCCCGCAATACGGGTTAAACCGTGGCAATTTGTTAAGCTCCGTCAGTTTCTATTATCCCCGGGACAGATTCAGGGATTCTGGATTCGAAACCTGTTCCGCGGATGCATCGAAGCCACGCCGGCTGGTGGCTCGAGGCTCGTTCCGAGTTCAATGGCACTCGTCGCGGTTCGGCACATCGAACATCGCCGATTTTTAACGCGACACCGAGGACAAAAGGTGTACTTGGACCGTTGACCTTCCGCGGGAGACAACGTCTGTCGCCCCCGAGTGCCTTACCGTGTGCAGACGTGACGGGAAACAATCAGGATCGCCGAGAACGCGTGACCCTGATTTTCGTGTCGTATAGTCATCGGGAAAAGTTGAACGAACCGACGACTTTCGTTTAGACTACGAAACCAGTACGATCTACAAGCCTAGATCAACGATATGTCAACGATCAAGGTTGTTTAAAATTAATGCCGTTATTGAGCAACAGTTTCTCCATGCTTTCGATAACGTCGATCTTCGATGACTAATGGATTCGATTCGGTATCATAACCTCACTTTCTAACTCTTCCAGCTTTTCATATGTTGCTACTCGTTTATTTTATCTGCGAAATCTTTGTAGCTATCTCTTTGAAAAATATAACTCTTACAAAAATGAAAAGTACTGAATTTTTGTACTGTTACTCTTTATATTAAAAGAGACTTATTTTTCAATAGAAGTAATATTTAAATTCAACTTTTCGAGGTGGATTAAAATTCTACGGTACATAAAAAACTCAGCAAGAGGTGGGAGTTTTTAACCCACTTAACATGAAGAGTTAAGCTGTAGCTCCACTTCTCATTTTCTATAAAAACTCTTATAAAGTACTTGTATTGAAACTGCATTCTAATTATATTTCCTCATTAAATTTTACACTGCTCATGGTTAAAATTATTGTATTTAAATGGTTCGGTTTTTATTGCAATGTGAGAATGGATATAGGTATGAAAGTGATCGAGCATGGACTTATGAATGAATCTGAATTAGGTGAACATGGCGTAATGTGAATGTAATGAATGAATCGCTTCGTGATTCTAAGCTGAATTCATAGGTGAATTCATAGTACATATGATTCTGCAAATGGTCTGAAGTAAAATTTAAAAAGAGCTGAATATTCAGATTAGATCATTATCAACATAAATTTTTAGTCCAACGAAATTAACTTCATCATGAATTAAGCTTACGAATATTTCTCAAGGATTCTCCCATAATGTAATCTGGTTCTCCAATAAATCACTACGTGATAAATATACAGCACAGTATATTTGGTTATAGAAATAACTCTTTTCAGAAACGTTGACACAGATCACTTTCATAATCACCTTCCGCACACGACAGAACGAAACGAAACGAATCGAATGAGTTCCTCGAATTCTTTTTCTCCCTGTTTCTCCCCTGCGTGCGTCAAGATGGAGGACGCAAACTCTCGAGCGCTTATTTTATTCGCGCACAACTATCCGTGGAAAAGAAGCGCGGCCGCCACAGTCCCATAATTGGTGCTTACAGCTAATAGCCCATTGTCTGCCGTGAAGAAGCGGGAAAAATGTTTCATTTATCTGAGACGTTTTCTGAAGGCGCACCATCAGAAAAAACACAACGTCGACGAAGCGCTCCGGAACGAACGGAATACAATACAAGCTCTTGTCCCACGTTAAACATTCGTCGATACATTTTTTCTCGTCGCGTCGACGGGACAAAGGAAGTGCTACGCGTAACCCTGCTGGGAGCAACGGTACCTGTTTATTTTCACCGGACTTTTTTCCCTTTTTCTGGCTCGAGTGACGCGAGGGCCACTTGCTCCAGAACCTGCTCTAAATTAGGGAAACCAACATGTTCAACTTGGGAAACTCAAAAGCTACTTTATGTTTTGGTGGCGAAATTTTTGAAGTAATTTTGATTGTGAAAGTCTTAGTCAAAATTTCGAAAGAACTTGTCATGCGATTTGTTTGTCAGATATGTCAGTCAAGTGACAATATTGCTATAATGTTGAAACTAAGTTGAAATGTTGTGTCAGTCTCCTATTCAGGTATCCTTGACTATGCAAATATAGTTACACGTAAACTTCAAGTTGTATTCAAAATTTGAGGAAGATTCGTCACGTTTTAATTGTGAGCACAAACTTGTCAAAATATAGCAAGTTACACTTTTCACATATTTATATTGCATTGATTTTTTTGCTGTATTACTATATTGATTAATTTTTCTATATTACTGTATTGATTTTACTATATTAGTTTTGTTAACATTATCAAACTGAATTGATAACGATATCAATTGTTATGTTGTTAAACGAAATTTATTTCGATAATGATGTACTTAATAGAAGATTCAATTTGGTACTGAACAGACATTTGACATTTTGCTGTTTTACATTTTCAAAAATTCTAAAGCAATTCTGAGATATCAATCTAAATCCTTAGTACATTATACAATCGTCCATTGTGTCAACTGTAATACTGTTTTCCATAAAAGTAAAAATTCGAAGGAAAGTGAAATTTCGCTCGTAGCATCATTTGAATAACTACGTAGGGATAACGGGTTATTTAAGATTCTCGAGAGGTTATTTTAAATTGTCCTTCGATTTATTCTGAAACTGCTCTGGACTTGAAATTTTAAAAAGTTTCGTAAATGTAAATTTTTCTCACATTTCTGTCCTTGAAAACCAGAATAACCCAAATTCATTTTTGTTACGAAAAATAAGAGCATACATTTATACCAAACTTAATTGAATAAGAAAATAAAATGGTGACCTTCATATCTGTTTCAGTAAATTAATATAAACCTATTATTATGTGTAGTAACTAATTGAATAAATAAACATCACAAACTGTTCCACCGTTTTCACTTATTTCATCTTTTAAAATGTAATCAAGGTTATTTCAAAACCTGATTATTGATTGTCATGAATCGTGAGCGTTCCTGAACATATGATTTACGAGCGATGGTCAGGTTTTCAAATAACCTTAATTAGGTTTTGAAAGGTAGTAATGAGTATCCACTCTTCGAAAGACGCTTTCTGATGCTGCAAACTTCTAATTTTAGAAACATCACTGGGTTAAATGCATATTGTTATTTATGTTTCTGTCAAAACTAGTCGCTATCAAACTTCTATCAAAAGTACTAAAATAAATGTACTAAGACGTAGAAATTATTTCATGTAACTGCAAGTCAAACAGCTGAATATCGACAAGTGTTTCAATATTTTAAAATAGCAAACATTCAATGAAAATAATGATATGTAACAGCTAATTGCAGTAATTGATATATGAATATTGTATCGTATATGATAGACTTTATATAACATTAATTTTCGTTACACAAATTCCTATAACGCGCCAAAAAATACTGAGACTACTATTGCCATATATTCCTCGCGATAACGTCATAACATCACATATTCTTCTTCGTAACTCTATGTAATAAAATGTGAAGAATTAGTCTGATTTTATAAAAGCACAAAAAATAATTGACGTGGCAATAATATGCAGAAGTCAATTGTAAACAATGATTTTCACACGGGACAATTTTAAATAATACCAAGTTGTACAAGAGTCCACTGTACACTAACCCTTGAAGCTACTATGCAGTTATCAATTCCACTTTTCGATGGAAACACGAATTCCCATCAAGTTACTTCTCCCTTATTAATCACCATTATCTGTCCCCCTACGTACACATTCCACAGATTTAAAAAATCCCCATTTCAAATTGTCGCATTAAACAGCGAGCGTGAGTCACCTCTCGAGTACAAAGGGTTAATGATTCGGTGCGAAAGCACGGCGCGAGGGGTAAAAAGAGAAAAGTCGTAAGAGTAGCGAGAAACAAACACGGGACTAATTGTAACGTTATCAAACGTACCTTGACCGCGAAACTCAGATGGCAGATCTACGACCGGGTGTCGTTGCGTTGATCGATGTTCCCCGTCCCTCCGTGAGGATCATCACGTTTCCGGTGTCCGTTCGGATCCAGGTAAATCGTTGGTTTCCACGAACCGGCGCACACCAATGTCACGGAACAGAAAACTGTCGAAACGGTAGGCGATGATCGCGTAAATATCTCGTTCGGTCTCACTGTACGCGGGTGAACCGGTCGACGCGGTGCCGCTGCGTGCACTGTGACATGTCAGGTGGTGAATTTTCGTCTGGCGGAACTCGAGAGGAACGGAAGCGACTTGAACTGACCGCGCGCAGGGAGAAGCCAACGCCGGAGGAAGGAAGTCGGATCGGCGATCGATGACACCGGCGGATTAGAGAGGCAAGAGGAGACAGAAGAAGAAGGAGAGAAGGATCCAGCCGCAGAACGAGCGAGGAACGCCGGATCAGGGCAGTGGCTTGGCTCGGATCAGACTGAGCCGAGTCAACCGAAGGATTCAGATGTGCCTTTACCTTGCGCGCCTTCCTTTCCTTTCCTTTCCTTTACCTTTCCTTCGCCGCTTCTCCCTCTCGCGCACCGACGTCTCGTGTGCTGTTCACTCTGTTAAATCGTGATAGCGTGGACAGTGGCGTACCTCTTCGCTCCGGGTACTCCACGAACGCCACGCCAGAAATTGCGACGCGTCACGCGACCACCGAAACCTTTTCTACCCGACACTGCTCGCTTACCTTGCGTCGCGATTCTCCTCGATTATCCTACCTAGGACCGTACAAATCGCACGATCCCTTTCATCTTCTACAACCCATACATTAATACACACCACATATACTGTCTTCAAAAATTCAAGAATCAAAACTATCTTCAAAATTCAAGCTTCAAAACTATCTTCAAAAATTCGAGCTTCAAAACTGTCTTCAAAATTCAAGCTTGAAAACTGTCTTCAAAAAATCAAGCTTCAAAACTGTCTTCAAAAAATCAAGCTTCAAAACTATCTTCAAAAAATCAAGCTTCAAAACTGTCTTCATAAATTCAAGCTTCAAAACTGTTTACCAAAATTTACATCGTTCGACATATACTCTTCTTCAAAATTAAAAAATCTCTTAACGTATACTCTCATATAAAATTGACACCTTTTAACGTATACCCCCCTTTATAACTTACATCTCTTGATATACTCTGTTCTAAAGTTTGCATTTTTTAACGTGTGTCTTGACCATCAATGGCCAATAATGTACTTAAAAATCTGACGTATATATTTGAACCTAGCAGGTGTAGGTTCCCCTTCGTGAAATGATTGCATCTTTCCAAGTAGAATAAAAACACCCTTCCTGAAGATTGACCTGAAATTTGACATGTGATCATATGAATATCGTCCAAAAAGTGTACCTGAGTCTAAGATTTATATAAAATACGTGGATGCGAAATTAATATTTAAGGAAAATTTAGCGTCCAACGAAATCGAATTGCGCGCCCCGTTTCGGGATAAGTGCGTCGTGCGAGTGATACGGCCCTGCGCGTAAGCATGGCATAGCAAAGCGTCTGTCCCTGTCTCGGACGCAACTCACCTTCGTCGTTGGAGGACCCCGGCCTCGTGCCCGCCATTCTTCCTAATACTTTGGTGCACGCCAACCGGGGGGAAAAAAAGAGTCCCGGTAAAAAGGTGCTGGCTCCATAATGCCCCCTGCAATCCAGTTGACTTCCGAAAAATAAAAGGATAAGCGAATTAAAGGAACGAATAAAATGAAGGAGGAAGAAACGAGGTCCCTTTTGAGGACGTCTTCGTTGAACGTTAAGCCACTTTTCTGAATGATGCGCTGCCACGCAGAGTCTCGAGGGGTTTTTTGTTCGACGAATTACGAAGTTACACGGGAACGGATAGAGAAACCGGGCAATTTATTTGCTTCGGAGAGGTAAATTGACGCGAGAGCGTCCTATTTAAAACAGGTGTTACAGGTGCGTGTTTCAACCAACGAGCGTAGAGCATTCAAACATTGTCGGCGATCTTTTGTCGAGACTCACGATGATTCACTGTTTTCTACGGAAATTATATTCAATGGAACACGTGAGCGGGACTTCTTCGCGGCGTTTAACAGCCGTTTCATCGGGGTAATGTACACTCGAAAGCGAATCTCGCTTTCCTGTGAAAATGCCAGAGGGGAACCTTACCACCCGCACAATTTTTACATTTCAAAAATTAATAAATAACAGAACTCTTAAAAATATAATTACTTTTAAACTCAATACTGTTCTATTACATACTTTACATTTCAGAAAGAAAATTCTAGGAACTAGTCTTTCACAATTGATTTTACAAAATATAACAGATGAGAGTATAAAATAAATGATGACGAAAGTTCAAAGTATTTTGAAAGTCTTGCATTTGCATATATTTCAAAAGACATGTTTTCGCGCGGTGCCTGAAAAAGTACTATCGGCATCATCTAGTGGTCAGGTGTGGAATTATGAAAACATAAAATTGCAATTTTTTATAAAATGAAGAATATTTGTGATTTGCTGACGCATGCATATCGATGTATAATTATTTAGTCTTGCACCCCGATGGAATTTGATACATAGTATAGTAAATTAAGCAAATAAAATCAATATTAATTGAATTAAAAAAAAATTGAACAAGTGGCGCCATCTCACCTGCGAACGGGGTGAACTATACATATTTGAAACTGTAGTTTCATTAGTTCCTACTTTCACCGCTAGATGGCGGAGTATATTTTTAAAGAAAAGGGGTAAATAAGTCCACTGAATTCAAACTGGATAACTATATTTTACAGATATATTTAACAACTAATTACAACAAAACTGTGCGGGTTAAATAGTTCGTATATATATTCCGCGCACTTCAATGAAAACCGCAAGGTTTACGTAAAACTCAGTAATTATAAAACACGTCACGTTGCCTGAGCGTTTCACAAGAGAATGTGACTACGTACGGAAATGCACTCTCCGCTGCGCTTTTACGCCGGAAGTAGGTGCGCCACAGCTTGAGGTGTGGAGATGGAGGATAGGGAAAATCAACGACGCTTGTTCTTGTTACGGCCATGTTGTCACTTCTATGTATTTCCTTTGTTTTCTGGCGCGCGGACAACTTGAACATATAACATCTAGATGGTGTTCTCACGGGCGAAAATGTGCGCACGACCGAGGGCGCCACATCATTCCCCCCCTTTCAAAAAAGAAAGAACAATAACAACATACAAAATAACGCTAAATTTAATACTATACTAATTACGACTTAATCGTACTTAATTAACGTAACGCAAAACGCACTGTCTTTATTTTACTTCTTCGAGCGTATGTCTTTAAAATGCCTCGTGGTCTGTTAAATACAAGGTTATCACCATTAACACTACTCTGTTGATCGCGTTCTTCTCGTGCATTGTCTGTCAGTGGACTATGTGAAGAATCAGCCACTGACGTTGAACTATCGTCCACTACACCATAAGCGGGTTTCAACCGATCAACCGTTATATTTTCTTCTCGGCCGTTGTAATCAATTTTGTATACCTTGTCTGAGATTCTTTTGATAACCCGATGTGGTCCAGAATACGGTTGCTCCAAAGTTCGGCTTGTTAACTCACGCAAAAATACATGGGTACATGTTTGGATATCTTTGAACTGGAAAACTTTCCTTTTGATATGATGCGATACAAAAAATACATGGGTACATGTTTGGATATCTTTGAACTGGAAAACTTTCTTTTTGATATGATGCAACACTGGAGTCGGTCGTAGTTCGCGCATAGCGCGACGAAAATCTTCTACGAATATGCGTGGATCGCTATCCCGTTCCTCAGCTTCGAAAAACTCCGCTGGGACTTTAAGCGTAGTACCGTAGACCATCTCTGCGGGAGAACTCTGAATGTCCTCTTTAAATGCTGTCCGTAAACCCAAAAGTACAACAGGTAGTACCTCTGTCCACTCTTTAGGCGAGTGACACATGATTGCCACTTTAAGCGATCGATGCCATCGCTCGATCAACCCGTTTGACTGCGGGTGATATGCCGTCGTCCTGCACCGTTGACCACCGGTAAGTTTCACTAATGCTGCGAAAAGCGCTGCTTCAAATTGTGCTCCACGGTCCGTCGTTATCAACCGAGGAGTGCCGAACCTAGCAATCCATTGCTCGAAAATGGCTCTTGTCACGGTCTCTGCTGTCGTGTCAGCAATGGGTATTGCCTCAGGCCAGCGCGAAAACCTGTCTATTATGGTTAAAATGTATTTACAACCGCGCGACACTGGAAGTGGGCCGACTAAATCTATGTGAATATGTTCGAATCTACTATCCGGAACGGTAATTTTCTGTGGATCCAACTTATTATAACGCGAAATTTTCGCTCGCTGACACGCTAAACATGAACGAACCCATGCAGTAACGTCACGGTTCATGCTCGGCCAAACGAACCTATCGGCTATATAGCGACGCGTAACTCGCACGCCTGGATGTGACATGCTATGTGCTAAATCAAACACGCGCTTTCGTAACGACGCAGGCACATAAGTTCTAATGCCTCTATCCGAAACATCGCAATATAATATTTCACCTGGAAACTCGGCTAGCAGCTTTCTATATGGCCCGTCAGCCGACACTCGACGGATCGTCGGAAAATCAGAATACTCCGAATGGGCACATACCTCAACATGACTTTGACCGTCAATCAGTACCTGACGTCGTACGTCGATAATCAAATGAAAGTAGGACAAAATGTCCGTGCCTATTATCGCTCGGCTAACATCGGCAACCACGAATGCCCAGCGCATTCCGCGTCCAAATCCCAGGTCTAAGTCCATCTGCTGTTCTCCAAAAGTTGGGATCTTTGTTCCATTAGCCGCGAACAATATCGATTCGGAGGGTTTGGCCTGCTTCCCTCTCGTCGCAGGTATAATGGACACGTCCGCGCCTGTATCTATTAAAAAACTTATATTGCTAATCCTATCTTTAATTATGAGGCGGCGTTTCCCGGTCCCGGAGACGCCTGCCGCCGTGGGCCTCCGGACGAAGCGTTTTCCTGACTCCTCTGGCGGTCCCGTCCTCAATTACAGGGCGGTTGGCAACTATATGCGTCCGCGCCAAATTTCCAGTGTTTATAGCAGTACCCGCCTCTTGCTCTGCTGCGGCTCTTACTTCTGTTTCGACGAAAGCCATGCCAGTTATTAGATACAGAATGCCCTCTCGACTGGCGCGTTTCCAGCTTCTGCAAACGTCCCGAGATTTGCGCAAGTTGTGCCTCGAGACCGCTCGAGACATGGTTTATCGCCGGGGGTGCCTCTTCCAGTGGCTTTTGCACCGCGGTAACGCAGGGCCGTGTGATCTCCACAATCTTGTCAGCCTGGAGGGCGAGTTTGCTCAAATCACTTACCTCGCTGATGGCTAAAATAGATTTAACCTGCTCGGGGAGGTGTTCCAGGAATAATGTCCTGAGAACTGAATCGCTGCATTGTCCACCTGCCAGGTTCTTTAACTTTTGCAGCAAGACTGACGGTTTTTCCGCACCTAGCACGTGCCCCTGAAACAGCTTCCGCAGCTTAGCTTCGCTGCTCTCACCGAAAGAATTAAGGACGCGCGCTTTCAAAGTTTTATATTTGCCACTCGACGGCGGCGACGATATAATATCTGTTACAAAGGGAAAAACATCCGAATGCAAATTGACAATAACGTGCTTGAACCTTGTGTCATCACACTCAATTTTGTTTAGGTCAAAAGCTGCTTCGACCTGTGCAAACCATATTTCCGGATTTCCCTTCCAAAAAGGCGGCAACCTGACTACCGCTGCTGGGGTCGACGCGTTGCTTCCACTCGCCGCGAATGGTTTGTCCTCAGCCATTGCGAATTCTTCAGCTTTTTCTGCACTTTTTGAACGCGTCTCAGGCATCTTGTCCCTTTTTAATAACACGCACTTAATGTCTATGAATACACACTATACGATTTAATGTCTAAAGTTTTTGTCCGCGACGCTTTTACCACGTGCACTATAAACAACACTATTGCTAAAGACTAACTGTTCACAATCCGGCAGTTTTTATATGCTCACTTACGACTTAAATAGTCGCATCGATTTAATCGATTGCGTCGGATTAATTTACGCTCTTCCGATCACGTCGGGGTCACCAATTTGTGGAGATGGAGGATAGGGAAAATCAACGACGCTTATTCTCGTTACGGCCATGTTGTCACCTCTATATATTTCTCTTTTGTTTTCTGGCGCGCGCGGACAACTTGAATAAAATATTCCGAAATTAATTACATTTGCTCTTTCATGTAATTTAATGCATATTGAAATTAATTAAGCTCTTAAAATCAATATTAATTGAATAAAAAAAAAATTGAACAACTAGCGCCATCTCTCCGGCGAACAGGGTGAACTACACGTATTTGAAACACCTAGTTCACTAGTTCCTATTTCCACCGCTAGATGTCCAAAGAGTTTGAGTTTCTCGCTCTAGAGTTGATATTTGGACCTCTCGCGGTGGAAATAGGAACTAATGAACTTCGTGTTCCAAATACGTGTAGTTCACCCTGTTCGCCGGAGAGATGGCGCCACAGGTTCAATTTTTTTTTTATTCAATTAATATTGATTTTAAGAGCTTAATTAATTTCAATATGCATTAAATTACATGAAAGAGCAAATGTAATTAATTTCGGAATATTTTCGATTTTAGCGATCTGTTCCTAACCTAATCTGAACCTAGTCTAAAGGATTATATTTCAGATTTTTTTTTCTTCATTCCATCGATTTTTTAGATACGTACAATTGTAGCGTGTATTGAATCGAAAGTGTAGCTTTGGTATCATCAATGTACCAACACTCGTTAATATTCTAAGAGGAATTATTTTATTATTTTTGTTTTTCAGGTCTCCAACCGGCTGCTAGATGACAATAGTACAATTTCCGAACCCTATTCTAAACTTCCCAAAATTTAATTCAAAAGTTTTAAGTTCGCAGTTCTTTAATTTAGAAATATTTCACTACATTTACATTTTCGACTTCATGATATGCAAAGAAATATAACTACAATTTATCGTGAATTCAATCATTTATTAATTTATTAACAGAACATGAAATCGCTGCTCGTGATAGGAAAGCCAAAACAATTATACGATACACTTTTATTTTAAAGTCTTAGATTCGTAAGAGTACAAAATAATACAACGTAAAACGACGATTTTCTCTCTCCGGCAACGTTTATCACTCCAAAATGTCTCTCTGTCCTAAACGGTTAGTCGATCTTGAAGTCAGTAAAACACTCACCGTTGTTTATCATTATAATCGTTCTTAATCGAAACTGAATTCTTGTTCCTTTTCACTCGTACACTTTAAAAGCAATGAGCACATTTCGTAGATTTAACGCACTCGACAGCCCTCGTCACAAAAATTTTGGATGCGTTGTATATTGCATCTGTGTATTTGTGTCTGTGTGTGATTAATGTGTACGTCGGGTGTAATTTGTGTATGTGTACGTGTGTGTTAAGCGTACGCGTAACACGGCGGGTGTAGAAAGTGTCTTAATATTAATATTACGCACGTACGTGAAGTTTGATGCGTGTACAAAGTTAACAGCTTAAATACTAAACATTGTGTGTACGTGTTCGTTTTTTCCGTATCTCTTACAAATGTCTTTTTAACTCTTTATCGTCATTGCTTCGTCCGAGTATGTACGCGTGGTAACGATTATATTTTTCTTTTCTTTTGTTTATGTACATATAAAATCGAGTTTCGTTTTTGTCTTCCATCCGGCACATTTTGTCGGTCCGTTCTCTCCGAACACTTTTAGCACCTAACTGGAAGTAAATAGAGAACACACTTAGATATAACATTCACTTGATCCCCCGATATTTTTATTTTCGCTACATCACTGCTTTTGCACTGCAAAACGAAATTTCAGTGTAAAGAGCATGTGAATAGACACGAACTGACCGGAAACTGTTGCAACGTTACTTGACTCTGCTTAAGGGGTAACACCACTCTAGAAATCAGAAAAAAATGTGATTTTCGGGAACTTTTAAAGTAATAACCGTACAAGTTATAAGGTCAGAATAAAAAAGGCTTTATTAGATGTGTTTTGAAGATGGTTGGTAAATCTTTATAAACAATTTGCACTAAAAATGGCGGCTGTAGGTGCTAGCAAGCAACAACACTATTTCTTTGAAAGGGCTTCATGGCCGGACTGTTTTTTCATTAACGCATTGTCCTAAGTCAAAAAATCCAAAAATTTCTCATATTATATACCAAAATCTATGGAACAACGTACGGAAATTAAAAAATATTAATAATTGTTAATTTAGTGTAGATATGAACAAAATGTTTCGAAAAACAGCAGAAAATTCAGCATTAAATTGTTAATAAAAAGTTAAGTAGTTAATTAATCAAAAAACCCGTACGATGTTCACTGCGTTATACTATTTTGCACATCTCCACGAAATTTCAAGTCGATTAGTTAAAAACTTTTCGAGTTATATGTCCGGCCAGTTCAAATAAAGTGATTTCGAGAAAAACGCGTTTAAAGTTTTGATTGCCATTCAGCATAAGAAATTTGTTATATAACTTTAATCAGCGATGCCTGCACCATACATTTGGCCTTCTATATTAACATCCTCCATGTCCTCTTCCTTATTGAATCTAAGATTCAATCTCGACATTTTTGAAGCTTCATTCAAAGATGGTTCTGAAAACTCTATGCGTCGGGCGTCGGCTTGTAGGCAAAAATTGTAACAATTTTCTCCGACAGACATATCCAAGGCTTTTATTAGTTCCATTATAGTGAATAGTCCATCTTTGAATATGCAAACGGATATTTTTTCGACGGATTCATGGTGTCAACGGTGTTGACTAAACCATAATAAATACTGAACTTATCAATGAGTTTTCCTGACAAATTTCCCTTTCCTTCAAGAAACTTTGTCTATTTTTTTCAAATTGGGGGTCATTGTTTATTAACCTAGCTGAATCAGGCCTTTTGCATTTACCCAGGTACCGTTCTCTACGCTGATTATTGTGCGCGTATCCACAAGTTACGCTGAGCCAACCACAGAGTGGTTGCTGTCCACTTAAAAAAATTCATGTTTCCGACCTGCCCATCACTTAAAACTTTTTTCTCATATTCTATACATAAAGCATCATTTAAGCAAAAAAAAAAAAAAAAAATTGGCCTTTTTCAAAATTCTAGAGTGGCATTACCCCTTAATATCACAGGCTGATTATTTCAATGGTAAGGCAAGACGTTATTGTTATTTCATTTAGCTAAGAGGTATAACCGAACTGTTTAGGAATTAATCTTTTCTCTTGATTCTTTTCAACGATCGTTAAGATCGTATTTACCGACGATGTTTCCACGTTGAACCTTACTAAAGTATATGAGAAGCATTTTACGATGTAAAAATATGATCAGATCCGTGCTTTTTTTTGTTTTCTTAAGTTGTGGTAATGTTAATACCGTCTATCACGGGAATCCGAACGAGAACGGCGGTCTCGGCTGCGGCTACGGGTCAGAGATCTCCTGCGAGGGCTACGGGACCTTGACCTAAAATATTAAAGAGACATTTTATACCATTTTTAATAAAATTGAAACAATTATTCATTAATGCACGACCCCTACTTCGTCTCAAAAATGTTGATAACACTATTCTATTATTAGTCGTGTTAGTTCACGGCTCGAGATACAACAGCGAGCACGGTACACTTCCCCAGTGAAAATGGCTATCTGCGGGGAAAGATCCCACCATTCGTTTATCTTTAATTAATAAGCTCACAATTTTCATATTTAAGTATTTGTTACTTAAGAATTTTATAGGTTTTGCAAATTGAATTTTATAAAAAAATTCATAAATCTGTTAGTTAAGAAATTTTGATTTCCAAAAATTAAAGATAAACGACTGTAGACTTTTTCCCGCAAAATAATCATCTGAGGGAAGCCCACATAGTACCCAAGGGTACATGCTCCGACACCGAGGCTCAAGATTTTTATCACATAGTAATAAGGGAATCTACAAGATAAACAAAATAATATCAGATACTTTGTATAAAACACATGAGACGAAACAGAACGTCGCACGTTAAACACATAGGTACGAAAAATGATCGCAAGGCAACTGTAATAGAATTAGGACTGGCTAATTCCTATTTGCCTAAGGGGTGATAAAACTAGTTAGACACAATAATTAATACAAAATGACATCTCACCAATAATGAGAAACCAATAAACGAAAGTAGGATTAATTTAGTTAAATTAAATCTTTACAAATAACTGTTATATATGTATATATGTAACATGAATATATACATATATATATATACTGATAAACATATTATTATTATTATGTAAAGGGTGGCAGTTCCTCAGTCCAATGTCAAAACATTATCGCTAAAATAACTGAGAAAAGAAATATTAACCACAGTGTTTCTTTGTATGATGTTCCTTTGCTATCCTTGGCCATTGCAAGCTTAAACATGATACAAAACATTGGACTACAGGAAACGTGACACCGTAATTAATAAAAAAATAAAAAAAAAAAGAAAAAGAAAAATGATAAAAAATCTTTGAAAATCGGTGAAATACCAGACAACTGTGAACATGTAGTGGTGGTTGGTGGTGGTGGTACTTGGTTGGGTGGTGGTGGGATGGTGTGTAGGTGGTGATCATTTTGCTTTGCTCAGTCGAAGAGAAGTGGCGGTCGCGTTGTCGGCTAAGTTTAACGTGATGGTTGACGAGTAGTAGTAGTAGCAGTAGTAGTAGTAGTAGTAGTAGAAGTTGGAACGGACGGACGGACTGACGCGCCGAGATTTTGACAGAAGTATTCGTTCATATCGCGTCGGCTGTTCGATGGATTCACGATGCTCCTAGCCGCTAGAGGTTGAGGTAGCCCGAAGAAGTCTTTTTGAAGGGGAACAGACGGACTGACGGACTGACGGACAGCATCGGACTGTCAACTGACGGACGACTTGGCTCCTACCGGTGACTGGTGGTGACTGATGGTGACTGGTTGGGAAGTTAGTGGGCAGGCAGGCTTTTTTTTGTTCAGTTTTGATTGCTAGACTTTTTTTCACGGTGGCTGTAGTAGTAGTAGTAGTAGTAGCAGTAGTAGTAGTGGCGGGGAGACGAGCAGAGCTAGGAGCTGACGCTGGTAGAATCTGCAAACGTCAGTTTTAGCAATATAACTATCAACGTTATCATACTCCTGGCCACTATATCGGTATACACGAGTTTTTCCTTAATCCAAATTCACAAAATTGCACATTTTCGACTTAGCAATAGATTTTTTTTTCTTTTACGATTATCCTAGACTGCCCACTCTGATGCGTACAAAAGAAGATTCTACTTGCAGCTGATCGATTAAACTTATATGAATGAATGTATCAATTTCAACTTATTCTTTTACGTATACTTATCGTAACGCATAGTGCAGTACACTAACGCAATACTATGTACTTCGAAAGTAAAATAAAATTCGATCTGGTGAAACTAATATGGAATAATGGAATCAGATAATCGCAAGCTGCTTCAATGCGTGTACGATAAATAAAAGTGACTAAAATACGAAGTGCAACTGAACTATTTGCACATTAGTGCCTTCCGATATAAAAAATTCTCTGCTATGTAGCTATTTAATCAAATTTAATAATTAATTTATATTTCATTCGATATCTGAAAGAAATTTCAAAATTTTGTTCAAAAATCAAATAAGCAAACGTAAGCACTTATAAACAATTACTAAACAAGTACGATTGAGTACAATCGATCTTCAGATACCGAATAATCTATTTATGACACTTACAAAGTGAAATCAATCAGATTCTATAATAAAAAGAGCACAATAAGCGCTAAAAATAAATTGCTTTGAAATGATAAAATTAACACCAGACACCGCTAATTACTTTCATATGCCGACGGTGCTCTTTTATGCACCGAACCAGCTTCATAGTTGCCAACTAATTCTTGATCTTAAACGTTTTCTTTTTTCTTTTCTGTCTCGAATTACTTCTTCGTCCTCCGTCTACCGCACATTATTTTACTTCTGTCCTCTCCAACTTATGCCAATCAGTTATAACAATATTTGACCGCCGATCGTGACTATTACGCAATTCTTAGTGTTCAATACATTCTGAACCGAATTACTCTACATGTTTCTTTTTTATATGATACATTGTGATTCTGCGTGCAAAATTGCGATGATCACAATACAAGCGGTACTTGCAAATACCTACTTGTAACTTGCAGATTGGCTGTTCTTGGTAAGGCCCTGAAAATTTGATAAAAAGTTATAAAACAAAAGGAAATTACCTGGAATATCGGCTTATTGGCGATCTGCGCGGACTTCTTGACCAGGACCTAAAAAAGATTAAGAAAAACTGTTGTACGTTTCAGACTGCTCATATGTTGTTGATCGCCATGTTTTCTTTTGTCTACTTGCACCTGAAAATTTCGGTTAACAGGGCTAGAAAAATCTTACCTTGGATAACGACCCAATGATCTCCTTCGAGGACTTCGAGATCTGGACCTATAAGTTTGTCAAAAAAGATATATGGTATGTGAATCCTGTTGTTCGCTAAGCATATTCACAAGGAGATTACAATGGGAGCAATATGAGCTCTAAACGAAATTACTACCTCTGCCATAACTAAAACTTTGCCCTAGCATCTCCCGTTTAGGTTTCCCATGCAGTGTATTTGGTTGCTCTTCGGCTAATCGCGCAATTATTAACATTTAATAGACAAACATTTTAATGATACCCAAACATATTATTCATTTACTATCATTAATATCATGTTCATATATTAAACTATTATTGACAAGAGCACTAGCCAGAAGAGCGATAAGATCAAATAAAGTACATTTTATCCGCATTCCTATACAAAATAATGACAAAAAATATAAATTTATATCCGTTGTGCATAAAAAACTGTTCACCGAAACCCGTGCATTGTTTCTTAACATTCTTATTTGAGAACTGCACTGTAATACCTACTTGGCGAGACACTTAGCCGTCTGCAGTAGCTCAAATGTTGCTGTAAAATGCGAATCCCTAACGTTTAAAGATCTCTTACCTGGAGTATCTTGGACCTGGTCTCCGGCCACCACCTCCACGTCGACTCCTTCCTGAGGACATTTCTACTCTTACTCTGGTTCCACAGCAGCGTCTATTATATAAAAATATTGATTTCATCACACATTGTAATTTAACATTAAATAAATATTGATAACAATATGTCCTTTATATTTCACTTACGTTCCATCTAACCCTCTAACTGCATCTTCTGCATCTCGTGAGTCTTCAAACTCTACGAATGCGAATCCAGGTGGGTTTCGTGCAACCCACACATTTCTTAGTGGGCCATATTTACTGAATGCAGTTTCAATTTCATGTTTGCTAGCACTGTTTCCCAGGTTACCAACATAAACTTTGCAAGAAAGATCCCATTCACGATAACGTGACATTCTGTCCATGTAAATAATAAAAGTAATCAATTAATAATTGGAAGGCAACTGACACTGACCATTTCATTTAACACTTTGTAGTTTGTTGATGGCAGTGTATTATCATAATTTAATTAATTAAGTTTTTTATTTCATGTATTTATAGCATTCAAAATTGAAACAAAATGGTAGACAACAACAAGTACTTAAATTTTAAATGTTGTCCTTCAATCTCAGTATTTGTATAATTACATGTATTGTTTAAAAAGCAATCCCAATTTCAGATGAAATATATAAATATAATGAAACAAACAACTATGATAATTCTATATTGTTAGGAATCATATCTTCAATATACACGTTAGGAATTCAATAACAGAACGGAAATGAGTTATCGCACCCACTGTCAGTTTATCTATATTAAAATAATATCGACCGGCAACGAAAATAATATCATCTAGTATGGAAATGCAACTACTTAAATGAACATATAATCATCTAAATAAATTTTATAGATAATTCTATTTCATTTAATTGTAAACATTTAAACTATAACTAAAATTTATATAGATTAGAATTATGCTTAAAAGAGAAAGTCGGAATACCGCCATGTTGTACTCTCGATTTACCGTGGAAACGAGAAACCCATTACGACGAACTAAAATATTTTAGTTTAAAACAAAAATACAATTTATTTCTTCGTCTGAAATATTTCAACAATAAACAAAAATTATTTCTTTGAAGTTTATATTCACAGGGACACAAAAACACTGTGAAAATATGTTGAAACAGAAACCGACGCCATGGAGATTTCGTACGATTGTTCCTTTCAATCAGTGATTTTTATAACTATAAATATATAAAATGTTATGTATTATTAACAAATTACTGATTTACTTACGTTTTGAATGTGTAAATTTATTTAAGGAATTTTATAATATTATAATACACACAACCGCCTCCTTGAACTGCACAAGCAGCAATGCCCACAAAATGGTGGCGTGTGTAGCGTTGATCTCCTTCCGTGGCCTCCTTTCGAAGATGGCATTGGTGCATGTATATTGCTTTCCATATTTTAGTCAAATCAAAGTTTAATACCGTAATTATATTTTTCTATTTTATGTATAAATAAAATTTGTTAATACACACTAATTTAAGATTCATAAATATCAATTTAACTCAATGTTTATTTAAGTCGTAATAAAATATTTAGATGATTTAGATCTAGTTTGAATTATAAGTTAATTATAACAATTGTTGCATAGAAGGTATACATCTTTAATTAGCCATATTGTTAAATAAAAGTACTTTCAATTATTTATATAACAAGTAAAAACGGTGTCAAAAAGCCGTTTACAAAAATCGATAAGAGGTTTGTATTGACTTACGTTGTACAGAGCGCAAATGGTATACTCCCACTACATAACACTGCATCAATAATTAAATTTAAAGTACAGTGGGCAACGTGTATAATGGGAAACTTAATTAAAATGAATATCAAAATTTATTTTTACAGATCTTGAATTATGGAAAGTTGAAATATATGTACAATTTTACAAAATAAATTTATAGATGCAAGGAATACAGTTTTGTAATAAAAATATAATACTAATTAATTCTGTAACTGTTATATTAATGAACAAGTCTTTTGTAGTCAATTTTTTCCAGCTGAACCAAAGGTTTCAATTGTTCGGCAAAAATTCTCATATCTTCTGCTATTGCATCTTGACCACTTGGTGCTAAAACGCTCAATTCCACTAAATAGCTTTGAGATATGGCTTCCATACTTTCAGGCATTTTTCCCTGCTGACCCATTTTAAATATCTTAGAAACTGTGACTTTCATTCTCCCTTTACGAAACATATAACCACGAGCAATGTATTCAAAATCTAATCTACATCCAAGTTCTGTTAGAAAGTCAACAACTGTGTTACTAGTTGCAATATCTAAACTGCTTCTAACAATTGTTGGACGTGATTTATCACCCAATTCTGGCTGACCAATATATCGTAATTGCCAGGGCATATCTTGATAATCCAAAGCTCTCCTTACACGTAAAAGTAATGGTTGTTCTGATGCTCTGAAACATACGTTATCATATATTTGCATTCTTATATATGATATCATCAGGTATCACAAGGACAAATCAGTAATCATATATTTAAAAACAATTGTGATTACCTAATACTGAAACACATTTCATGATCATTAAATGTTTCTGGTCCAGTATCAACATTATCACATAAACCACGTAACCTGTGAAGCAATACTTCTACTGCACTATCCAAAACTGATCCTTGCAATAAATATTCTTGATTTGGTATTATGTTAGATTTAAGTGCAGCTGATAAACTGTCCATTGCTGTGCTTATTGGAGCACTCATTTTGAAAGTTATAATATTCGTGTAACAATGTAAACACAATGATATACTTATTTCGATAATATGTATAAATAAACGATATACATTCAATTATATAGGTTAACTTGAAACTTCATTCCCTCATTGTTGACATCCACTACATACATGTGATTTAGTTGTTTATCATATTTGGTCCCATAACTACTGAAATAGTTGCTGACTTCAAAGAGAATTTTCAGATTACATCAAATAAGTACACATGTAAATGGAAAATATAATTTTATTTTATTACATATCTACAAATATGTATAGGTATATAAACTCATAAATTTGAGGTTTGATTACTATGTAAATAAAAAACTATTTGTTGTTCGTTCCACGAAATATCATACCCAAAAGACGACGAATTTTTATTTATTCTGCGCATCTCTCATTGCTTCAGATGATTCAGAAAAAGCAAATTTCTATTTCGTTCACCAGATGTCGGTAGCGATATTGTTTTCAAAACGCGCATGAATACAAAATTTCCACGTTGCATTAAAAATCTTAAATGTGCTGTGTTTTTTGTAGATGCAATCTTTATGAAATCACAGTAAGAATCCATAGTAGACATATAATATTCTCAGACTGTTAAACTATTTGTTCTGTAACAGGATGTCCTGTGCATTATTGTAGGCATGTATGTTGTAGTTATAGTAATTTTATTGAACGAGCAAGCCGAAGGCGAGCGAAACTCTTATACTTGACTTTGTAACTTATTTGTCCGCGTTTTTCTCTTGCACCACTCAACCAATTCAACCGGATGACACGGTTGACTATTTTTGCTTTAGCGTGAAATTTACTCGCTCGCTCAACATTGTTAGGTTAGGCGCGGAGCGCCTCAATCAAACAGACCTAGTTATGAATGTAAATTAAAAAAGGAAAAGAATTGATACATCCAAAGAACGCTTCAATAATAAATGAGCAATAATTTATAACAATTTAATGTATAAATAAATTATCAGCGAAATAAATAGACGCAAATATTTTCCTAAACAGAACAATCTAGCAATGTGGTTGTGCTGAGTAATAAATACGATATTAAAAATCTGTCTATAAAAAATATTTATTTATAAATATATAAAATGGTTGGTCGGTGTGATTATCACGCCTGTGCTTTAGTTGACTAGATAAGATTGAGCGCGCAAGCGCAAATCAAAATTTACAACATGGCGGAACGTAGGAAAACCAGGAAGCGTAAAGATGTAAGCATCGCATATGGCTGCATTTATCGCAATATAATTCAACTATATATATGTGTTATTGTGTTTAGTTGGTGCTCTGAAGTATAATATTTAATTTTATATGGATTGATTTTATATTATTTATTTAAATCACGTGTCACTACGAATATGCTTCAACAAAGTTCGACGGATGACGTAGCAGCAAACACATCGTTTATTCTCTCTATTAAAAATTATCTAATTATTTTTGATGATATATGTACTTCGTTATTTATAACTCTACTTCATGGTTTTCTTATCGAAGATGAAACAATTGTTCTAGATGTATTTTTTCTATATAAGTTATACAAATGTTTGAAGTGACTTTGTTATAGGTCACCATCTGTAATATTGCAGTATTTTTATATTTTTATTTGTTGTAAAAATTACACTAAAACTAATAAATTTGTAGTGACACGTAAAACATTCAATTTATTAACATCTATAAATGTTTATATTAACATTTTTACATGACATATCTACAGATTTTTATAAAAATAAAAAATAAGATTTAACTTTTTTGAAACAGGAAGTATCAAATGTAGATAATGAAGTTGTTCAAGAAAAACCATCTAAAGGAGAATATGCAGTAGCTAAATGGATTCGTAACAATGTACCATCAAAAAAGACGAAGTTTGACAGAAATCACAATGTTGAATACTTCACTGGTTCACGTGCAGTGGATGCTCTACTGGAAAACTCACCATGGAGTAAAACCAGATTTGAGACACGTGAACAAGTTACAGAATTTCTTGACTTGATGTTACGACATAAATTCTTTCATAGAGCTAGAAAGGTAGTAATATCTGAGGAAGAGTTATGTAAAATACGTGGAATAAAGAAAAAACCTAAGGATCCCAAGAAAGACAAGAAATCTACTGAGAAAGATAAAGAAGAATCTAAAGATGCAACAGGTGGAAAAGATAGCGACGATAAAACTGAGGAGAAAAAGAAAAAACCAAAAGTAAGTTTTAAAGAAATGATAATTATTTAAATTAGTTTCTTTTTCAAATATAAAATGCAATAGAATAAGCAGGAATTTAACACAGTATTTATTAATTTAGGTACGTCTAGAAATGCACATGGAACAATATTTTGTCGATTGTAATGATGCTTATGTTTGGATATATGAACCAATTCCTATATACTACTGGTTTTTTGGAACATTGGTAGTCTTAGGAGCAATTGGTGTATGTCTCTTCCCATTATGGCCCTTAACAATCCGTCATGGTGTATACTACTTAAGTCTTGCGGCAGCAGGATTCCTCGTATTCATTTTGACATTAGGAATTATTAGATTGATTGTCTTCTGTCTTTTATGGGTTCCAACACTTGGAAGATGTCATCTCTGGCTCTTGCCAAATTTAACAGCTGATGTTGGATTTTTCGCTTCGTTTTGGCCACTTTATCAAGTGCGTATCACTTCTTAGTTATTCATTATTTAATGAATAGTTAGTACACATAAATTTATTTTCAGTACGAATATTATGGTTCTACTGAGAACAATAAAAAAGCTAACAAGAAAAAGAGAAAGAAAGAAAAAGATTCTGATACAGAAGATGCATCATCAACACATTTGTAAGTTAAAATTTATAAAAAAAAATAATCATTCATTAATATATTTAAAAGGAAGTAGATTTATTACAATTTGGTCATAAATGTTATGCGTTCTTTTTACAGAGAAGAGAAATCTAGTACAAAAGAATTATCTACAGATCATATTCAAATTGAAGAAATTACAGTTAGTGAAGACAAAAAGCTTCCTTCATCTGAATTGGTAGAAGGTGAAGAGGGTAGCGAAGGTTCGGAAAGCGAAAAGTCTAATACAGGTCGGGATTTTGTGATGCTTTAGAACAGGAACTCTTGGCAATAAATAGTTTCCCTTTATCTCCAGCAACTGCCGTGTTAATCAATGGCTGATTCTCGTCAATTCTGATTAAATGTAATATAATTTCTTACATAAATGAAGGATTTATGTTTCACTGTTATATGCTCGAAATATGTACAATTTATTTTATTAGAAGAAAAGACAGGATATTAATAACAGTCACGGCAAGAAAAAGAAGCGGTATATAAATTTAGCAAATTGATTTCGTTTAACTCGCTTACATCAATATCTTTGCATTTCTTGCATTTAAAATATAATAGCCAATTGAACAAGAAAATCGCATCTATATTTTAAATAAAAGAAATTTTTGTAAATTGTGGTACGGAAATGTACCACTTCTGAGATTCCAGTTAAGTATGTATTTCTATTTAAATAATTATCGACTAGTACTTTTAGATGTTCACATAATGCAAAAATTTACGTTGGAACGTATAATTACGTTAATGCAGGTGCCTGAGGTTTATCTGTTACTCACAGTCCATTTTTAATGTTTTAAATACATTGAAATGCAGTATTTTATTAGTGATAATAATACATATAAAATTTCCGTAATATTGATTTTCTCAGGTTCCATAAATGTACAAAGCTGGATAAATAGAATCTCCGTGAACAAGACTAAAATTATTTCGATCAATTGTTACTCTGCCCGTGAGTTCCTTTTTAGCAGAGAAAAGACTTGATATTTCACAGATTTCATACAACAAATTGTAATTTATATTTTTATGTAAAAATTCCAATGGTAATAGTTGTTATTACTATTATTATTGTAACTATTATATTAATATTATTATTATGGAATATCGGTTTGAATCATTGTAGGTACACGGATCGTGATTTTACCTATATTGAAATAAATCATGAAAAAACATGGAATTATAAACATATGAATATATTGTTTATTAAATCATATAAAAAGAAAATATTTATAAACCTTATATTATGTAAGTTATTTTTTTTAACTTTTTCATTGCAGTATTTTCGTCGAAGTTTTGATACTCATAAGTATTTACAAACTTAGTTTAAATATGTAATAATAAAACGAAATTATGATTACATAATTTTATAATTAAAATAACTCATACATAGTTGCGTATAATTACTTTTAAAACTATTCTTTAAGATTCTTTGTACAAGTTAATATTAATTCACAAATTTAAAATGTTGTCAAATTTATTTTCTGTTTATAAAATATCGCTTATTAAAATCATCGTAACAAATTAAATTAATCTTCAATTATGGAAAGCAAGAGATATGCAATTCAACTTTGAAATATAAACAGCATTAAGTTTCAATACAAAAATTGCTAAAGTACCTGAAAACTTTATACATAATTATCTCCAGTTTTGTAATTTTTGTTTTGCGGACGTTATTCAGGAATCTCGTTTCCATTTATCGTTTTACGGCGAATTAATTGCATTACGTCATACGCTAGTAAATTCTTTTGGAATGTCGTCGAACCGGCACTAACTTTTCCCATAACGAAGAAACATTCGGATTTATGTGTAATTTTATTTAAGACTTCTTTTATAATTTAATATGACGGATATAATCGTCGACAACACAAAGGGTCCATTGTTTTCAAGCTCACTATACACGTGCATAAACAAGTTCTATTGAACTTGGTAGTTCATGTTCAAAGGGTGTAATACTAAGTTAAAGTAATCAGATTGAAAATTGACAGGGAGATTGGTTGACTATTCCGTTTCCTCACTATCATGCTAATGAGCATTTAACATCGCGCTTTTTACCAAGGCCTGTAAATTTACCGTTAAAGGTGTTTAGATGTTGCGTTTGTGTCGCGCCGTTCCCACGAATGTTATTTCGAAAAAATGAATCCTTCGCACGGATCTTCAACCCAATGTGTGAGGTTTCAAAGGTACGTATTTATAATTGGGTGCAATTTGGAAATACATATTTTGGATAAGAATTAATAAGTTTAGTTTTGGGAGATTGTGCGTGTGTGAGATCTTGACACTTTACCAAGTTATTAACCTCCCAAATTCCTTAATATTAGAGTTTAAAAATTTCCCGCCAATTAACCAAATTACGCATACGAGTGTCTCCCCCACTCCATTCCCCAGAGTAACCTACGACGTTACAGTCACGTGCATGAAATCGAAAACAATTATCAAGAACCATCTTAAACATCGAACAGGATACTTCAAATTCTTTCTATCCCATTTCGGGCAGCGTTTAAAGTCGATCTAATCTTTCTCATTCAATAAAATTCAATTAATAAGTGCAAACGAGCCACTTAGTTAAACGTGAACATTTCGCTCGGTAGAAACACACGGCAGGCATGCACATACGTATGTATATATACGTACATATGTATTTTTCTGCAGCGTAGTGGCGGATTCGTAGAGTGGCTGGTCGTGGAGCGAAGGGCCGCGTCACGAAGGCAAAGTTAACGGCCCATAATTCATAGCCGACATATAATAAATATCGTTACTCCATCGTGAGCTCACGTAGACACGCGCACCGAGGTTTTACACGCACGTACCCCTTGGTATAATACGTGTGTAAGGATGTAAACGTTTCATGACTCCATGCAGGCTTTCCCTCAGATTACGTGTGGTGAGCTTTCGTCCTTGGCGGAGGTAATAAAAGTTTCCTTTAACAATGCACTCGCGCACAGAATAAAATAATAGTTGCCCCTTTTGGACGTTTCTTTACCCCCTCGACTTATGTACCGTATATATGTACATTGATATTTTTCTTAAACTATAGGTCATTGGATCGTCTGCGCCGTCTTGGCGGTTCTTCGTTCATCCTCTTTCGACATTTTGCTCTCTCATGAATATTCATTCGCCACTCTATGGTTTGGGGTGAATTAATTGGACTTGGCGCGAGAATTAATAGTCAAGATCGAGTTCTTGACAAGTTTGCTCAAGACAAATTTATAGGTTCTCAAATTTCTAAGGTACTTTTTAAAATTTTAGTATTTATAGATACTTTAATTTTTTAAATTTTAAGTACACTTTTCTAAATTCATAAATTCCTAATTTTCCAGATCCCCAAACTTTTTTCTGAAACCCTACTTACATCTTGGTGTCAAATTTCGCGTTTGACGCGATATCCTTGTCAGAAACAAAAAACTGTAAATACGCTTGTAAACTCCATTTGCGAGCGAGCGTCAAAACGTAGCGAGAGAAAAAAATAAAATGAAATGAAGCACGGAGCGGAGCCGAAAATAAGGTGAATAAAAAATACCTTGCATGGCCGACCACCGTGGTTTGCGGTTACAATGTGCAACGAAAAAAGAATTCTTCGTTTCGTCTTTCTTCTTTCTTACATCGTCTGGCTGTTTTCAGTCCTTCTTCCACTCTGCCCCGTCCTCCTCGTCGTTCTTCGTTCGTGAGACTTCCAATGTGTGTAGACAGCCGGATTTATATTCAAATGAATCGCCGTGGAAGGGTCGACTTATCAACGTATCAAACTCGACAAGGCGAAGAATAGACGAGGGGGTTGAGTCACGAAAGAATGTTTGCTTCTTGATCGATCACGGTTATCGATCGGCGAAATTGTTATTAATTATTTGCGCAACTTATCTTTTACGAATAATTTGCGGATAGGAATGTATGTGATCAACGATAAAATTGTTTAATAGTTATCTACGATTTAATCAGTGATATAAGTTAATTGGAATACCTGTGTCAGTAGCTGACACTACTGACAGCATATGAGTAGCTAACACTTTTACTTTCAGTCTCATAAGTGTAGGTTCCTAGTACAAAAAGTTGAGGTTCTCCAAAGATACACTCTTGTGCAGTTTATTATTATTATAATTACTGTTATAATTTATTATTATAATTTTCCTATTTTATACATCTAGTTTTTTAAACATGATGTGTATGTCTAATTTATGTAATTTTTTTCTGTTTTTTAAATCTTGTATTTTTGTTTTTAGATAAACATATTTTATTCTGGTAGCATCTGGTACACGGAATCAGTTGAGCTAAGAATTCTATTGGTTATAGAGTTGTCTATAAATATTAGTCAATTCTATTTATTCATAACTGGTTGACAAAATCCATCTATAAAATGCTAATTCAAAAAAGAAGACTAATAATTGTAATTGTAAGTTCTATCATAATTACTAAAACCCTAATTATTGCAAAATTAAATAAAATATCCATAAATTTTCAGTAATGTAATGCTATGTTTAAGAGCACCAGGATGATAAATTATATACACAGTCGGGTATTAACATTATCGTCGTGCAGGAACAAAGTGATGCAGATGTAGAAATTATGCAGATACATGTTATGCAACGATGATTATTGTTCTTGAATATTATGCAGTGAATAATGATCGTTCCTCGAGCAAGGACCTGAAAGTTTTTCGAGGGTGCAATTATCAACGGAATGATTTCCTTCGTTTGCGCCGGTACATGACTTTATTTAGCTTTAGTTTGTCGAAACCGGTTGCAAGCGACTTCTCTCCTCTCTTACTGCAATACCAAGAGTTCGGTGCTCCGCATCATTTAGGGTTCCTTGCGTGGAGGAAGGAATTTCGCGTTCACCACGCTCGACAGCTTCTTTCGCATAGAAATAATTCTTGTCCCAGAGGCTTTCAAACAATTTCATCTTCTTCAAATTTATCGACTATTCATTTATCAACTTGATCAATTTGTTATCTTAAATATTTTACATAATTTTCTCGTATTTTATAGTTCCATTTAAGTGTGTACGTCTATCACAAGCTTTCAACAGGTTTGGGAAGAAGTTTATCGAGAATTTTTAGCGTAGACTAGTTGATAATTAATAACATAAAGATAACAGAAAGATAATAAATATGTGTAGTTTATGGTCGTGTTCGTACTACAAAAATATCTATATAAAAGCATATTTATACATTTTTATAATGCCAGACGATCTCGTACAGAATTAATTGGAATTTATTTTACTGAACACATAAAATACTGTATATTCTTATGGTCAATTACTTATTCATAAGAAAGATTCACTGTTCTCACACAATAAAAATAATAAGAAAAATTTATATTTTTAAACATATGTTCAGATAAAATAATATTATTTTTGCTTTCAGATGGTGTAATAATTTTATATCTGCAGCAATGCGAAAAGTCATTGTATACAAGTATAATTAAATTGCATATTATTGTAAGTATAGTTAATACATGTTATTATAAATACAGTCAATAATTTGGAGAATTACAAAGTCGATGATCGACCAAAAAGAAAAGATACGATTTGAAATTTTGCAAGCTTCAAGATTGATCTTGAAGTGCAAAGAAATTCGGTCAGGGCCGTCATACGACTCGATCTTCCGCTTCTTGCCGTTAAAGGGTCGCGGTCTTAATTATCCTTTTTTCTTATTTGCCGTAGCTTGTAATTTACATTCCATGGTTGGTCGACGTGCCAGAAGGAAAGCGGTTCACCGTGCTTCGCATTAGATCGAGCGTGGGTAGCTTGCGTCATTAAGCATAGTAACTTACGGTACAAGAATGACTTTGGCTTTGGCGGAGAAAGTGACCGGGTGTGGCCATTGCGAGACATTGTACATCGTACGCATTTGTGTGTACATTAGCTTCGCCGAAGGATTTTCGTTGTTCAGCCTTTGACAACGTCTATTGTTCTACGGATTTTTCCTTTGCTGGAATGGTTAAGACGTTTCTGCGGGTAAAAGTGGTCGCGAACTGCAACCCGTAAGGACATAAATCGCATTTCTAACAATGCTAAGCAGAGCAGCCTAGCAATTATCGCGGATAATCGACGTACGATTATATCTAAAATATTTTTATTTTAGACGAATTCTAGGCACAGTACAAGGTTTCGTACTTAAATATTATTCAAACAAATGTTTCTATTCGAATAAAAATTTTATAGTACACTTGAAATTGACATTTCGACTTATTATATAACTGTTGTATACACTTATAGAATTGTACACTTATTATACAGTAACTATTGTGTACAGTCACATAATTTTGAATATATTAAGAAGTAGATCGGAATAGATATACTGATTAATACTTTGAGTACACTGTATTTGTATTTTCCACCGAGACCATTATGTTAAATTTGCAGAAAATCCTTTCACTTAGTAATTTTATTCCCGCGCCGTTTTTATGATATTCAGCCTTTTCCGCTGGATAAACTTCAGTTTTTAACGCAATTACTAATTAAGGTTACTCCCGTTGAATTAAACAACAAATCGATGAAAACTAGATTGTAAACTCGATGTAAACCATGCTTCATGAATTTCTCTAGCCAATTTACGCCGCCGACCATTTGATTTTAAAACAAATTATCGAAAGTTACACAATGTAGCCGGTATATTCATGAGAGCAAATGGTCAATGAGTTCTTTTTGTGATTACATATTGTACAACGAAAAAAGCCTTCGGAATACATGGTGTTACAAATTGTTTTAATTTGAATAATAACGAGATTCGTTCAATAGTCTCATTTGCAATTCATAATTCAAAACGGCTGCGCGTCGAATTACCGTACGCAAGAAACTACTTCTTAATTAAATAATCCTCAACGAATGTCCGAAGGTAATTTATAAAGAAAAGAGAATAATTATCCATGGTTGTTTCATCGTGATCGATGAACTTGTATATTTTAATTCGGTTCCCATTGAAATCAAATAATTCGTTTTTCGCGAGCGGTATCATAAATCTACCATTATGCTTTCTGTCGATCGATGTTTGCTTCGGATAATGAGCAGAATGTCGAGATATGTCGAAACCGAAGATGGGAGAAAAACTGTCTTCGCTAAAGGAGCAGAAAACTCCGTGCCAAATCCAGTGGGTTTTAATATTTATGTTTCCTGCCGAAACTTGTTTGTCGGCAATATTGTTGCGGGATACGTGAAAAAATGTACGCGACTCACTGAAGATTTTAAAACTGAGAAGTTTCTTTTACTTGTATGTCGTAAATTTTGAAACGAAATTTTAAATGTATTGTAGTTTTTGTATGTTAAGTTATACTTGCGGTTGCTATCATTTCCATTTTTGTTTAGGGACGCGTTATAGTGTCACGTATTAGATAGCTACGCTTTGTATTATTACACGTTAGATTACTACGCGTTGAATTACCACCCGTTGGATTACCACGCGTTAAATTACCACGCGTTAGATTACTACGCTTTGAATTACCACCCGTTGGATTATTACGCGTTAAATTACCATGCGTTAGATTATTACGCGTTGAATTACCACCCGTTGGATTACGACGCGTTAGATTACCACGCGTTAGATTACTACACGTTGAATTACCACCCGTTGGATTACTACGCGTTGAATTACCACCCAGCCTTCGGAATACATGGTGTTACAAATTGTTTTAATTTGAATAATAACGAGATTCGTTCAATAGTCTCATTTGCAATTCATAATTCAAAACGGCTGCGCGTCGAATTACCGTACGCAAGAAACTACTTCTTAATTAAATAATCCTCAACGAATGTCCGAAGGTAATTTATAAAGAAAAGAGAATAATTATCCATGGTTGTTTCATCGTGATCGATGAACTTGTATATTTTAATTCGGTTCCCATTGAAATCAAATAATTCGTTTTTCGCGAGCGGTATCATAAATCTACCATTATGCTTTCTGTCGATCGATGTTTGCTTCGGATAATGAGCAGAATGTCGAGATATGTCGAAACCGAAGATGGGAGAAAAACTGTCTTCGCTAAAGGAGCAGAAAACTCCGTGCCAAATCCAGTGGGTTTTAATATTTATGTTTCCTGCCGAAACTTGTTTGTCGGCAATATTGTTGCGGGATACGTGAAAAAATGTACGCGACTCACTGAAGATTTTAAAACTGAGAAGTTTCTTTTACTTGTATGTCGTAAATTTTGAAACGAAATTTTAAATGTATTGTAGTTTTTGTATGTTAAGTTATACTTGCGGTTGCTATCATTTCCATTTTTGTTTAGGGACGCGTTATAGTGTCACGTATTAGATAGCTACGCTTTGTATTATTACACGTTAGATTACTACGCGTTGAATTATCACCCGTTGGATTACCACGCGTTGAATCACCACGCGCTAAATTATCACTCGTTGAATCAGCTCTCGTTACTTTATCACATGGTAGATCCCTACACAGTAAATTACCACGTTAGATCACTACACAGTAAATTACTACGCGTTAGATCGCCACGCATTAAATTACCACGTATTAAATCACCATGCGTTAAATTACCGCGTGTTAGATCATTACATAATAAATTACCACACGTTAGATCACTAGGCAGTAAAGTACCACAAGCTGAATCACCACGTGTTGTCTAATAAATGAACCAGCTTATACAATTCTTTATCTCGATGAATGTTAACATAAAAAAGCTTCTACTCCAAAGATTCTCAAATTGACAATAAAAACTTTAACACACACACCGGGTTCCTTAAACCCAATGAATATAATAGAACCAGCAGCATCGTCCATTTCAAAAACTGATTCCCACGCAGCGAGCATTAAGAACAAAACGGTACAGGTTACAACGAAGGTTGTTGATGCCTCTGAATTTTATACTGTTTATCTGACGATCTCCGTAAACATTGTTTGTCGGTGGCAGCAAGAAATGTAAGGCATGTTTGTACACACGTTATTGAGGAAGCTCAACCTCCAAACAGAACGTGCAAACGGTTTGTCCGGTTTTCGAGGCAAAGGGTTCATCGAACTCTTGGTTACAAGGGATCGATCGTGTACGGCTACCGAACGTGTCGTATGTGCGCAAACGATCATTGATCTGTGACGCCAGACCGCCTACATGTTATCTAGCTTGAGCACAACGACAAATAAGACGCGCTAGTTGCCTCTATCATAGAAAGGAAACCCCTATTATCACTTTCACTGACAAATACTAATTTCACGAATCACTCGGGCAAACTCGATATCATTTACCGTTCTTGGTACTGAACGATCGTTTTCACTGTGGAGGTTGTAGAGGTGGAGGAATGTGGAGGTCTGGGGATGTAGAAGTGGAGGAGTATAGAAATTTAGGGATGTAGACATATAGGGTTATAGCAATATGGTAGTAGAAGGATATAGAAACTTAAGAACATTGGGATATAGGGATATAGGGATACAGAGAAGTGGGAATGTGGAAATTTGGATGTATAGAGATTTGGGGACATGAAGTACTTATATGTAGAAATGTGGGAATACTAAAATTTCAGCATATAGGGACTTAAGAATATAGGGGTCTAGGGATATAGGGATCTAGGGATATAGGGATATAGGGATCTAGAGATATAGGGATCTAGAGATATAGGGAATTGGGACGTAAGGAATTGGAATATAGAGAATTTGGGGTATTTGGAATTTGGAGAATTTGGAATTTGGAGAATTTGGAATTTGGAGAATTTGGAATTTGGAGAATTTGGAATTTGGAGAATTTGGAATTTGGAGAATTTGGAATTTGGAGAATTTGGAATTTGGAGAATTTGGAATTTGGAGAATTTGGAATTTGGAGAATTTGGAATTTGGAGAATTTGGAATTTGGAGAATTTGGAATTTGGAGAATTTGGAATTTGGAGAATTTGGAATTTGGAGAATTTGGAATTTGGAGAATTTGGAATTTGGAGAATTTGGAATTTGGAGAATTTGGAATTTGGAGAATTTGGAATTTGGAGAATTTGGAATTTGGAGAATTTGGAATTTGGAGAATTTTGAATTTGGAGAATTTGGAATTTGAAGAATTTGAAATTTGGAGAATTTGGAATTGTGAATCTACGGAATTGGGAATCCATGGTATTGGAAATCCATGGAATTGGGAATCCATGGAATTGGAAATCCATGGAATTGGAAATTCATGGAATTAGAAATCCATGGAATTGGGAATCCATGGAATTGGAAATCCATGGAATTGGAAATCCATGGAATTGGGAATCCATGGAATTGGTAATCCATGGAATTGGTAATCCAGGGAATTGGGAATCTATGAAATTTGGAATCTAGTGAATTTTATTTGTTTACAATATATTACAACTAAAATATTACTATAAAAGAAACTTCGTAAAAGAAGTATCTAATAAGAAAATAGAAAGGTAGCACCTCTCACTAATTCGTGGTTTAATCACAAAAGATGATGAAGCAATTTTTCTTCTCAGAAGCGTTCCCCAGGTTTTTCCCTCTTCTCAGCAGCGAAGAACCTGGGTACCATTGTTGAAACTTTTTCGAGGTTATTACACGTACGATATGTAAATGCGTGGCTGGGTCCGGTCCTCGACGTCGGAGGACCAGCTCCTTTCTTTTTCTTTCGTTCGTACCGATCCTTCTCTATTTCTCTTTTATTCCACTTGGCTCCTTCTCTCATCTTGTCAGGGGCGGATCAGATCAAAACGGTCTCGATAAAATAGACCTGTTTCAGATAATTGCGAGTTAATTGGAATTCATGAAAGCCAAGACACGTCGCTTATCGAAGCCAATCTGACGGTTTTAGCATCGTAACTGTATCTCTAATAGTCTTCCTACGTTCATTCTTAAGTTATGCATATAATTCTGTTTCTTCTTTTGTTAATTAGAATTCGTGATGGATGGAATTTCTACTCGAGATAGGGATTCATTATATGTACATGTATAATGTGATGGACAATGGTAATTATTTACGATAACAACTATGAAATCACGATAACTTACTTTTAGAGATAAGTGTAAAATCGCTCAGGGTGAAATTTTACGTCCCGTAGTTTTAATATAATTTCAATACCATTAACTGTAATTTTTAAGTTACATATTCTAGAATTAATTCTTGAAGTACTGAAATGTTTATTAGTTTACATGTAATGTATTAAAACGTGATCTATCTAATATATCTGAACTTAATTCAAATTTAAATTAATAAAATTGAAACGACTAAATAATGTGTTAAATATAGTCTTTTGAATTAGTTGAAGAGAAAGATGAGGTCCAATGATTTTAAGCATAATCAGCAAACACACTTTTTTATATCTTACTGAAACGCTTTCGAATTCCGGAGATACATTACAAAGTTTTTTCCAGAAATTAATGTTGTATGTTTGCATTTTATAGAATTGCAAATTGTTTAGTTCTGAAGTTTTCACATTTATATGTTACATCCGTACGAGTCATACGATTTTTGCCCAGCTCCTGAGTTTTTAAAAGTTTGACAGTGAAAATTGATCTCGACAAATTGATTCTCGTTCTCCAATCGCATAGAAAAAGCGAATCCTGGACGAAGATTCGCGTGGATCCGCTCCTGTTGTATGCCACTACCACCTCAGCATCGTCATCACCATCTCCCTGGCTCCTCCGTAACGGATAGGCTTCACCTCCAGAACGGAACTCCAGTCTGCTTCCAGTTTCTCCCTGGAGAATGCTCGTTGGTTTAGTCGGAGTTTGGCTCTCCCAACGCGCGGTTCGTGGCCACTCGATTGACTTATCCCATCGGAGAACCGATCGCATGCTCTGACAGAGAATCACTTTCGATCGAATCTCTCTCGCTATATTGCCCAAGTGTTCGTTCGACTTCGGCTGCTCAAAGTCTCTAAGATATTTCAAAAATATTCTCTAAGTTCTTCAAAAATACGATTACCTCTTGGTACTCGGTGTCAGATCGATTCGTCCACAGTGTTTCGATCGAAACAAAAGACAGACAAACATGTGGGAAGCAATATCGTCGAGATATCGAGGACACAGGATGATCGACACTTAAAAGGTTCAGTTATCAATGATTGTCAATCGTTTCACTTCGATGTACGACAATGTACAGTAGTTTGTTTTTACGGTTTTCCTCCCGTTTTAATCAGTCTATGCTTCACTCTACTTACGGCTGACCCTGTTTATAATAATTAATGGTGTTAGCTCCGTGAATGCCTGCGGACTGGTCATGCCTGCCTCTCACGGAGAATAGGCTACGGTTTATTTGACTCCGTTCCAAACGATTCCACGTTTCTGAGTCTATTCTATTTTGTCACAAATTTATTTCATTACAGTACACAAGCTCATATTATTATGGTACACAAGAATACAAATTTATTATCTTCAAATTCATTATTACCCAAAAGCTATTTACAAAACTATCACGTTCGTAAGAAAAAAGAAATTTGTCCTATTTAAAAACTGATAGTCCAAGAACCGATAAAGAAGTCCAAGAGTTAAGTGAAACTCGACCAGTTATCGAACATCTAGTACGAATTAATTAATCGATCCAGTAATTGAAACGACTTATTAACAATGAGATTTTAATATATAGCAAGTTTCTCGATCCCAGCCGTAAAGCTATCTCGTTAAAGTCGATGTTTTACCCCGGCAGTTAACGCAGCCAAATGAACTGGCAAGTCTTAATTACCGCGATGAATCGTAATTGCAGGAGTGGCATTCGCAGCGAAGAGGAGGGGGCGCGTAAGGATGCGCTTACGCAGGAAACGGTGCATGTCCCGGTGACGTTACAGCGACGAAAAGAAAAAAAAAAAGAAAGAAAACAAAAGGTATAGCCAGAGATAAGGAAGCACGGATGACGCGATGAGACTGAGCCCGATTATCCTGTCGTGGGCCACAGCTAGCTGGCTGGGTCCGGGGACCACGGCGATACGTGGCCAGGCATCGAAGGATTACGAGCTGTCGACGGAATTCTTCCTGGTACCCGGCGACGTGGCGATGGACAAGAACGGTTTGGCCAGCGTGGCCAGTGTCATCAGTGTACCTGCACCGAACAGGACAGTTTCGGTGTTCAAAATGGCTGGAAAGAAGAGCCAGGAGATCGAGGCCGATACTCGACTGTACTCGAGGTCCTTGCTCAGACAACGACCCTGGGCTCTTCCTCTGGCGGCCCTCAGCGCAGCCACGATGCTCCTCATGGCTGGTTTCGAGGTTTTCGTACTGCTCAAGGTCGGTTCGCTTACCTTTACGAGTACGTTTTCCCAAACTCTCTCGCAGGACTTGACCGTTAATTTGGGTGGAGGTATTAACACTTTTAGGGAACCACTTTGGTTACGTCACTGTCTTATTTTCTTGTAATTGTATTTTATTCTAGTACATATGATACCACTTTCTCTTGAGTTTGCTATTTTATTGTTCTAATATTTTAATACTTTTTTTGTGAATATTAGTATTGTATATGTGACGATATTTTGATGTGCTCTGCTGCTTTACTGTCTTAACTTTCCATTTTCATTTTACTGCTTTACTGATATCGTGTTACTAGTAATTTGCTATTTTACTGCTCTGTTATCTAACAAGTTTATCCTACTGCATCACATTAAATACTAAAGAAATTTGCACCCTCAACAGTGAATTTGATATAAAAATCACCTTTGAAATAAACCTTTCAACTATACTCTGCCTTCAACGTCCATTTCATCGCATTAGAATGCTGCTTCCAAGCTTCACAAAAATCTCTTAAAGACCTTGAAATGTCTCTAAAATCCGACTAAAACCTGTAATGCGGCTGTAATGAACGTATTAATGCTAAGTAATCCTATTTTGTCCAGAAATTAGACACATTTCTTTAGCAAGCGTTTCAGCAAGTAAACCTATCGCGTTTAATGACACGAAACGCGTCTTCGCGGTCGTATAAGCATCGATGATGGAGATTTGAGGAAGAAGCGAATTAATAGAGCTTAGAAAAGAATCCTTATCTCTTTCTCACTCGATAGCACGTGGAAACTTGTACAAGAATCCGTGGTAATTGTTTTTGTTCGTAGCTGGACAAGCTCCAATAAGCGGCATGCTCGCAATTTTACCGAGACCTAGGCCTAGTTTGCATGTCGATCGCCTATTTCTCCTGGCTGTTCTGTGTGCCTCTGTCGATACATTTCACTGAGCAGAATCTATCAGGAACGCATCTCGACTCGGATAAATGTATCTAATGACGATCGCGTCTCTATTAGTGACCAACTGTATATTTCATTTGACTAAAAATTCTTATCTGTTAGTCTAAATCTTGAAATGTAATTTATTTATTGTATCTTTTATTTAAGTGGTCGTTAGCGAGTGCAATTATAGATAAGATAAGTTGCGGAATTATCTTATTAATTATATTTCTGAGTTTTATGAGGAGTTGCATTCGTGTGATAATTTATTCGTGCATGCGGTTGATAGTAAAATAGTAATGAACATCAATTTTTATTTATGTAGAATGATAGTGATCATAAAGCGCAGTGATTAGAGCAATTTAATTTTTATTAACAATTTCTTTGGAAGCACGTAGCTTTTGAAAATTAATTTATTTAGAAAATTTGATTTGACATTTGATTTTTTTAAAGAAAAATTTGTATTTAAAAAGTGTAAAAGCCTGAGGTAAATTATGAAAGAAATGTTCTCAATTACAATAACTTTCTACACTAAGTGATTTCCTGAAAATTTACCAATTGAAATTTCTTAATTATGTAATTATTCTAAAACACGATCACGATATTTTTCACGGAATATTACGAAAAGTTAACATTAACATACCATCTAATGAAAATTAAAATTAGAATACGAAATCCTGTGTTCTCACTTTTCGTCATAAATTAGAAATAATTAATTAAAATAAACGTTTCACATTGTCGTATAATCAAGTTGATTTAATAAAGTTCGTTAGGTATAATTATCGGTTTATTCATTGATTAATGTTATGAATTAATCAAATCTCTTTTGTTAATTACAACGTGTTAGCTTATAAGGGTTATAAATTATTGTAATTAGAGAAATTAAGTCTCGTTATTACGGTTAATCTGTTTATAATATCGTGGCACGAATAGTTTGATGCGCAACAATCCTCGTCGGCACGTTTTTTCTGTCTCGTCGAAAATTAGTAGAACAAACATAAGGAAAGAACGAAAGTCAGTCATGGAACACGTGAAAGATGCTTTCTGGTAGCCATATTGAAATTTTCCTCGCCGAGGATGGAAAATTGGAGCACATGGTGTTGCGTGTAAAGACAACATTTTATTCGCGATTCTTTCTAGTCAAATTTGCAAGCTTTGTAGAAAGTACCTTTTTGCCTGCAATCATTCTTAATTACACTTTTCCCTTTTTTCTATTGTCTGCGGATAATTTATTAATTAATTGTTTGAATAATCATTTACATATTCAAGTTTTGTGCCATTTGTCTACCGTTCCATTTCTAAAATTTAGTGCAAAAATAAGATATCACAATTTATAAATAATTATTTGTAAAAATAAAATATGATTTAAAAATTTTAGTTTGCAAAAATATAATATAAAAATAATCGTCAAACTCAATATTATAATCATATTTATAAAAGAAATGAATACACGTATGATTTGCAACGACGGTAAAAATAGATGAGAAGAAACACTTTTACATAAAACATTTCTTAAACCAGTCAGAATATAAACATTGTTGCTATTCCTGAATAAATCTAGGTCCTGGACTACTTTCCGTGTTTTAATGCCCTGTCGTGTAATTTAACTCCGTACCTTTTTTAAAAAAAAGAAAACCTGCATGTTTTTATTCGCCATTGACGTGAATAGAAGCAGTCATTGTATTCATATCGAATTTCTCTTCTACGTCGTAAAAGGTAAATAAAGGTGGCAGATATTGCTATTCTACTGTAATTCTGAAAAGAACGATTTAACGGCAGTTTCGTTCATTAAAGGATTTACAAACAATTATTACTGAAGCAATATGTCTAACTGTAATTTTATGATTTTATTCAAAATGGCCGCTGGTCCAAAGATTCTCAAGTGAAGTATTTGGGTTATATTTTTAAATTAAAATTTTATACAAAATTTTGGTGTCTATTGTTTTATTGTAAGGACAGAACAATGTTTAATAAATTAACGTTTCAAATATATATATTAATCATAACCTTTTTAGAATTAATATGATTTTAAATATTTGCCAGAAAATTGGATAAAATATTTGTTGTATAAGTAAATAAAATATTTGCTACATAAATGAATAAAATATTTGTTGCACAGGAAAACAAATTTTGTACTACAAAAGAAAAGAAAATATTTCCTAAATAAATAAATACAATATTTGCTACAAAAGTAACTAAAATATTTGCTACAGAATTAAAATATTTGTCCTAAAAAATAACATCTGATCCTCCGAGTCATCCTGATATTTTCAAGCCCAATACAAGTATTTTCAGTGAAACTTTTTTTTTATTTGCAGGCAAGGGTAACTGCGCCAAACAGACGACACTTATTTCTGGGACAAGCTCTACTTCTAGGACTATTCCTTTTGGCAGGACTCTCAGCAGCAGCATCCCTTAGTCAGAATCCTTTGTCCTGCGCCGCGTTTCGATTAGTCGGTTTGCCAGCTGCCCTCGTGTTTGCCGCTCTGTTGGTCAAATGTGTGTTTCTACTTTCTTTGAACAGCGGCGTTTATCTGCCAGCACCTTATCAAGTGAGTCTGTACACCTCTCGCAATATCAGTCGGATATTTTACGACACACTACATCCGGTATTACCACGAGTGAATCCCGAATTAATCAGAGACCATCTAAAGCTGGATTTACACGCTCGCGTAATTTGCAGAACGGAGTAATTAATCATAATGTTGCTCGGATAAACTGGGGAGACAACACAATTAACATAAAATGAATTATTCATGTTTTTAGATTGATCTCCGTGGTTTTTTACTGGGTTCATTTTGTTTGGGTTACTTTCCTGTAAATTAGAACTAAAAAGAAGATGTTGATTTTTGTGGTTTTGATGTTTGATGCATTTTTAGGTACACCATTTTGTAAGGTGTATATCTGATCATTTTTTATGAATTTGTTGAATGGGTCATACCAGTAGTTACTGGTAACGTAACCAGTAGTTACTGGTTTGAAATAGTAAACAAAATTGCAATGTTTTAAATAAAAATTGTAGCTGTGGCAGATGATGCAATGATGCACACCATTTTGTCGAGTGCGTTTATAACGTCTGTCCTTGCCATCTAATATTAAAATATCTGAGCTCATTTTCATTCTTAGACAGAGCAACTATTATTGCTGTCAAGAACATTACGATTAATAAAATGATTATAATTCAGATAAAATGGTGAAACAGTAAAATAGTGAACTACACGATAAAATAATAGAATGGCAAAATGATAAAATAGTGAATTGGTACATGATAAAATAATAAAGTGGTAAAATGATGAAATAGTAAAATGATAAAATAGTCAAATAGTCAAATAATCAAGTAGTCAAATAGTGAAACAGTCAAACAGTCAAATAGTAAAACAGTCTAACAGTCAAACAGTCAAGTAGTCAAATAGTCAAATAGTCAAATAGTCAAATAGTCAAATAGTCAAATAGTCAAATAGTCAAATAGTCAAATAGTCAAATAGTCAAATAGTCAAATAGTCAAATAGTCAAATAGTCAAATAGTCAAATAGTCAAATAGTCAAATAGTCAAATAGTCAAATAGTCAAATAGTCAAATAGTCAAATAGTCAAATAGTCAAATAGTCAAATAGTCAAATAGTCAAATAGTCAAATAGTCAAATAGTCAAATAGTCAAATAGTCAAATAGTCAAATAGTCAAATAGTCAAATAGTCAAATAGTCAAATAGTCAAATAGTCAAATAGTCAAATAGTCAAATAGTCAAATAGTCAAATAGTCAAATAGTCAAATAGTCAAATAGTCAAATAGTCAAATAGTCAAATAGTCAAATAGTCAAATAGTCAAATAGTCAAATAGTCAAATAGTCAAATAGTCAAATAGTCAAATAGTCAAATAGTCAAACAGTCAAAATAATGAAATAACAAAGTAGTAAAATAATAATAGACTAAAAAAATAAAATATTAAAATAGCAAAATAACAAAATAATAAAAATTTTAGCAGCCGCGTCCTGAACCAACCAAACTAAAATTGCTCCAGTATCTAAGTGATAATAAAATACCTAATTACAACCAAACCCAAAATACAAAGTACACAAAATTCATTCGAAAACTCGAAAGAATGTTCCTTTTGTCTGAAGCAACAAACGAATTTCGAAATGGAATCCCGATTGCACGAGAGCTAAGCGCTCCTCATTCCGATTTCGAGCTATCTAAATTTATGCATCGTATCCAACAAAACGAAAGTCCGTATCTGCAGTAACTTTTGCAACCGCTATAATCTCGGTATCTGGCCGATGTCTTTATCGGTGGACGTTCGAATGATTCGTTTGGTCACTAATCGCTTAAGCAATCGTAACACAATCGAAAGTTCTCGCCAGGCAGTGTGTGAATAAAGCCTTAGAATACGGTCGGCAGAAACTCGTGGAACGACTCTCGCGAAGGATGCGCGGATGATTTTTCTTATTTCGCCGTGTCGGCGATCCGGATGTCGATCTCGATCGACTATTTGTACACGCGGGACGGGACCTGAATGAAAAGTAACGCAGTAGTAACTAGTAATAGCATTAAGTGCGGCTATCCTGGTCGTCGAGTACGTCATGTTCTAGGTTGAATAACATTAATATTCTTGATATCTTCTGCGCCGCGTAACGGATTCTCAACGGGTCTTTCTTTTATTGGTCGTCATCGCTAGATACGATTATACGTATTAAAGGATGCGACGATTAGAACGCAAACCTGTTTATGAAATATGATATAACTTGTTAGAGAAATCAGCCGTGATCTTTCTGCTTATATAATATCTTTTGATCATGTCTACCCCTTGACGTATAACATTGACGAATATGTCATTAATTACTATTAGTAACTTGTGAAAAAGAACTCTTTTTTTTATACTATGAAGGTTCGATAGTTGACTACTTTAATACTCTACGAAAAGTGAAGAATGCACAGATCATCAAAAAGAAAATGTGGCACCACTTAACCCCTTGCCTAACGTGTCACACTTGTGACGCAGACTACAGCCGGAATAAACCAGACTCGTATTTTTACTGCAATTGAAGTTTTGGTTCAATTCTAATTATCCATATAATCTATATCCATTATCTATATAATCTATACAATAATTCTATATAATCAAGAATCACTGAATGTTAACATTCTTTAGTTGTCTTAAAGTTGTAGCAATAATTAGGTGGCTTTAAATGACACAACTCTCTAAAAAATTGTAGGTTGAGGTTAAAGAAAAGAAACTGTACCACATACATCTGGCACCACATTACCATAGCCTTTGTTAAAATATCAAACCTTTAAATAGTGCCTTAGCCTTAGTGCCTAAACGTTTCTAATGCAGACAATAATTCTCGTCATTACATTCAGTTTTGCTAATAATCCACTTACGACTATAATATTAATCATGATCCTTCTATTTTAGAACCGCGAAATTAGATAATGGTGATGAATGGTACATGATTCTCGTTGTTGCAGGCATTGGTATTAGGATTCGCCGTGCTGGTACAAGTAGCTATTATTGGGCAATGGTTCTACGGTGAACCACCCGCGGTGGTCCAGCTACAAAATCCAGGAACAATCTCGACAGCAGGTTGCAAAACACCTCTTGGACAGATAGTGGCTTCCCTCGGGTAAACTTTTCAAATGTAATCCTTCCACAGACAATATTTTCTCCGTTCGGGGACAGTTTACTATTTTTGCGAATTAAACGATTCCTCAACTCACTTTCACCTTAGCTCATTGTGGTAGAAACTGTGCTCGGATACAGTGAAATTCAAGTGTTTGACATTTTTTATATTTCTAAATTTTTACGTTTTTAATTTTGTACATTTTCAAGCTTTCATTTTTCTAAATTTTCAAGGTTTCGATGTCTTTTAATTGGAAAGAAAATGTGAAATTTTTGTGTTATTATATTAACATTGTATATTAATTTTTAAACTTCTATTTTTACAAATTTAAATCATCAAAATTTCTACACTTTTTTAGATCTATAAATCCCTAATTTTGAAGATGCGCAAATTTATAAAAACTCAATCCTTGAAACTCTGTATTCACACATTTTTAAATCACCAAATGCAAGTCTCAAAACAAACTTGCTATTTTAAAAATGTCTACAATTCTCCAAATAAAACTTGAAAATAGAAATCTTGCAATTTAAAAGAAGTTTAAAAATTGCCTGTAACTTGAACAAGCAAATATGATCGAAAGATCAGTGAGTTGACTGCATATACACATTTTTAAATCATCAAACCCAAGTCTCAAAACAAACTTGCAGTTTAAAAATGTCTACATTCCAAATGAAACTTGTACTCTTGAAAATAGAAATCTTGCAAAGCTTGAAAATTGCCAGTAACTCGAAGGAGCAAACGTGATCGAAAGATCAGGTTAGATCAGCTCGCGGACGTTGAAAGGTAACCATAGACTGTTCAATTATTCGATGATTTCAGATATCCTGGTGCACTGCTGGTAGCAGTAGCTTGTTTAGCAGTGCGAGCCCGCGGCGTACGAGACAACAACCGGGAAGCTGCATTTATCGGCTTGGCTGTTGGTTTATCGCTTCCGATTTGGATATCAAGCGCGATCGGCTCGGTGGCAGCTTCCTCGGAGAGCGACAGAGAGGCTTGGCTTGCTTATGGTTTATTAACTACTTCCCTTCTCGTGTTCCTGACAATGTTTCTGCCGAAGGGCCGCCAGTTAGCTGCCCTCGGACGAGAAGCTCCTGCCACGGTGATCCGTGATCGAGACGATGCCCTCAGCTCGCTTCCTGGCAGCGGTTACTCGCCTTCCTTTTTCCACTTCAAACCAGTCGAGGCTTCTTTGAAGAGAAAAATGCATTATCACAGCGGTGGTACGTGTGCACTCTTATACATTGGCGTAACTAGGTGGGGAACGGGGTCAATTATCCCGAATTTGGGATTCGTATGCATAGTGTTTGGGTTGAGGATCTTGTATTGGAAGTTTAGACAGTTTCAAGGTTATTGATTTGTTGTGATACGAATTTCGAATTCCTAAATTCCCAAATTCCCAAATTTCTCAAATTCACATCTTCTCAATTTTCAAATTTCCCAAATTCCCACATCCCCAAATTCCAAATTTTCCAAATTCCCAAATTACCAAATTCTCAATTCCCCAAATTCCCAAATCCCCAAATTCCCAAATCTCCCAATTCCCAAATCCCCCAGTTCCCAAATCTCCTAATTCCCAAATCCCCCAATTCCCAAATCCCCCAATTCCCAAATCCCCCAATTCCCAAATCCCCCTATTCCCAAATCCCCCACTTCCCAAATCCCCGAATTCCCAAATCCCCGAATTCCCAAATCACCGAATTCCCAAATCGCCAAATCCCCTAATTCCCAAATCCCCCAATTCCCAAGTCCCCGAATTCCCAAATCCCCGAATTCCCAAATCTCCTAATTCCCAAATCCCTTAATTCCCAAATTCCCTAATTCCCAAATCCTCAAATTCAAAACCCCCCAAATTTCTAAATTTCCCAATTCCCAAATCCTCAAATTTCCAACCTATTCCATTCCCAAATCCCCAAATCTCCAAATCTCCAAAATCCAACCTCCCCAAATCCCCAAAAATTTCCCTAAACCGCCCCTAATATTCAATATTCAACCCTAACACCGTCACCAAAGTAAGAAGATCCAGTCCACTCTAAACAAAAATCCTAGTTACGCCAATGTTCCCTATCGTACATGCTACTTTAGTAGTTACGTGCACGCATGAAAATATTTGTAACGATACCAGCTACTGCTATCAAATTTATTAGCAGCTACCTCGCTCGTGTCTCGATAATCATACATTAAGCGGAAAGTTATAATTAGTTATCAGAAATTTGTACTACAGCATCTTAAAGTAAGTGTCCGATACAACGGTAGATTTTGTATTCTTGTTACATTTCCAAGTCTAATTTTCTGTGCACAGAAAATGAACACTTTACTGGTTCCATTAAAGTACACGCAACGATTCCTACATTTTTTTCGTTCACGTGTTTGCTATTACGTTTGTGGTAGTTTCTACAGTTGCTATTTTACATCTTTTTATCGTCACGAACTATAATTGCTAGTCGTGTTGTATATTGCTTCTGGCGTTACTTTTTAGTAGTTGACGTATGTAGGATTCCGATCATTACTGGTTTTTCTGGGTTATAAGTAAAATGTTAATAATTTAGTTGTCAGTAGTTTGTAGTTAAAAAGAAATCAAGTTTTATATATTCTTAAAATACTGCAATACAAAGAAAAATTATTCACCATACACAAAACTTGTTTGTATTTCGAAAAAAATCTACTGCAGATTATGAATCTTTTTCGTTTTCAAAACAAGTACCTAGAATATGTAACCATTTAGTCAGCTACTTTTTGATCACTCTGTATAATGAAATAGACGTTATCTTTAACTACAGCAATTAATGTTCGTTGATTGCAACCGATCATGATTAATTTAGACATTAATGCAAGTGTTTGTTAAGTGATATCGTTTCAATTGCAGATCGTGTCGCATTAGTTTCATCCGCCATACCTGGATGCACAGCCTGCAGGCATGGTGGAAGTCCCATATACTCTGACGGTAAGATTTTTTATCCAACATTTTTACAATTACAAAAACGTCTATTTGTCTACATACTAAATTCACAGTCGTATGTCCAATCACTTGGAAATCAGAAATAAAGTACAACGATATACGGGGATGAACCATAAATTAATTTGTACAATTATTCATCTCGACAGAAGTTAACATACATTTCGACAAAAGCTTTCTGTGATTTAAAATGAGGAATCTAAGTCGCGTCATTTTGACGCGTTTCGTAAACCTGGTGTTAACGCTGTCTATCTTTTTGTACCATCGACGGAATGTCTTCGTATCTTCCGGGTTCGACAACGTTTCATGGGAAGTTTGATAAACAGAATAATAATAGACGGAATTATAGATCGCGTAGCTACCGGAGTCAATGGTCCTCTCGTTCGGGAGGATTCTCTTTTAAGATTAAGTCCTTCAAGTTACCGCCTCCCGCCATTGTTTGTCGATGGATCTCGAGTGTATCAAGGCTTTGCATCGCGAAATTCTGTACGCCTTGTTTGACTCGCGGAGGTATTGGGTCCTTTACCATCCTCCTTTGCGGGAAATTTCTTTAACGCAGTGAAATGTAATAATTGGAGGATGTGGGATTGAATGTTTAGCATGGAAAATCTTGCAAAGAAAGTTGCACGGATGAATTTTTGGGCGATCGATACTAATATCTTGTAACTAATAATCGAATATACCAATCCAATACTTAATAAGTAATAATTCTCTTCTACACAAAATTTACGGATTTGACAATTTGTCAGTTTGGATGTTCAACGTGGATTCTTGTACAAAGCTTTGGTATCAAGTGGGAACTGAGCAGTTCTTTTTAGAGTATCATCGTGTTCAAAATGGTGGAAAGGTGAACAATTGCAGTTGAAACAGCAGTTTACAGTTAGAGAAGTTTCAAGCACTGTCTTGATGTATTCCCTTTCCAAATTTTTCCACCGTTACGGAGTCGCCTGTTGCGACCTTCACCTCGAGGAACGAACGAAAGGGAGGAAAAACCTCCTGTAGGAAAGGTGGAGAGGGAGAAAGTTTCGAGGCGGAGGTCAAGCGCTTCTCCGAGAATTAAACTGGAAGGGGAAACGGATCCCGTTAGATTAGACGATGCTAGTTAATCGGTGACCCGTTGTTAGTGGTCGATCAAAATTGTTTTCTTTTTTTTCTGCAATGAATCTTTATCTCTCGAGTAATAGCTAGGTAGCTTTCTATGATCATCGCTTAAATGCTCTCTCTAATTAACCCCTCAACCCGAGTTGGCGCAGAATTTATTGCACCGGCGATAATTACTTTGGACAAATCCATTATGCTTCATAATTTATTTTAAACAGTTGTACTTCAATTTTTTAAGAGAAATATTATAAAAAGAGTTTTAGAGTAATTGTATACTCTCAACGTCGTTTCTGTGTGCTTTGAAACACAGTTGAGGTGTTAATGTATATGAGCGTGACTAGTGGTTATAGCCTAACTCATCGATCCGTTTCGTTTAGTCTTCATTGGCTCTTCATGGTGGTTCGATTTCAACTCATCCGTTGTAAGAAACTTTCAAATAATCATAAACTCCTAGGAAGAGTGACAGGTGTGACACACTTTGAATCCCGGTTAAAACAGCGTAACCTCTGCTTCGCGATCTTCTGTCAGTACTCTATGATTAATTTGTAGAAAGTGTCTAAAACTAATAAGGTTACGGATCTGAGTAGATAACGAGATTCATCGATGATCGACTTGTGATACGTTCCATTTATCGAGGTAATTAAATGTTATCGTTACAAGTACATTTTATAAATGTCTTTTAAAATCAAGTAAATTTTTAATAAATCAAGGTATCGAAATTTTAAAAATATTAAGATATCATGTAATTTTAAAGGAACCAAAATAAGATTTAAAAATATGATAATTTCTCGTTATATGTACATTGTTACATTTCTTATCATGTTGCTAAAAATGCTTCGATAACTTTCAGGCAATTAAAATTACAAATTATATCGGATAAAAACGAACTACAATAAATACGTACATCGTTAAAAAAATTACGGTCTGCTGATTGACCCGACCGGAAAAACAAACGGGAACGCGGTGTTTACCTCGTTACCGGAAATTAATAACCACCTGTGGTAGGATGTTTAACGTAGATAACGAGTTTAGAGTCAATTTTTAACTCGTGAGCTACGTATTTTAAACCGCAATATATGTAAAAATTTCCATTATCATAGCCATCGTATTTTTGATATTAGCTTAAAATTAGTTGACTTCGTTAAAGGACGACAATTGATATTACTAATAATAGTAAATATCTTATAGTAATAAAACGTGCTTATGCAGAACACTTGCTTATACAAGCATAGTAATAATAATAGTAAAAAATATTAGCAATGTAGATGCTATTGTTAATAGTACTACAAGATGTTACATGAATAAATAAATAAATAAATATATTTTGCAGATGTTCACGGCCCAATGGAAACGTTCGTGTTGCCACCAGGGATGTATCTAAGGCCAGAAGATGCTGGAAACTTGTACACAACGTTATCAGCGAATCCGAACGTATTTTTTCAACGGGCAGCTCATCCTGGGATGATGTACTGATAATTGCCCGGAACCCCTTCCGACCACGAAAGCCCGCGAATTTCGATAACAGAACTGCTTTTCTACATTCTTATAATTAGATAGCTACGAAACAATGGACTTTGTTTCCTATTCGTTTGTCTTGTTATTGTAAATAATATCACGTACGAGTGTTGCTCGAGACTTTTAATTTTCCTTTGTCTCGGTTATGCTCGATTATTTCGATAACAAATCAAACTGTAGCAGTCGAAGGCGAATTTCGCGAGAAATTATAATAAAGGTACGATACATTTTTTTATAATCCTTCTTTTTTTTATTTCCATTTTGTACCAAGTAAGTTCCTGGACAGTGGCAATGCTCATTGGCATAGGACCATGAAATCTGAAATTTTTATATTATTAGATCTTAAGGTTAGAAATACCAAGGTTTTAAATTTTCAAATTTTCGTATTTCCCCAAATTTCTAAACACCCAAATTCTCACATACCCAAATTTCTAAATTCCCAAATTCTCAAAATCCCAAATTTTTATCCTCCAAATTCTCTAATCCCAAATTTTTTAACCTCCAAATTCTCAAACCCCAAATTTTTTAACCTCCAAATTCTCCAACCCCAAATTTCTAAATTTCCAAATTCCCACATCCCCAAATTTGTAAACCCCACATTTCTAAATTCCCAAATTTCCTATTAAGTTTCATTTCATAATTGTATAATTCAAAGATCAAGATTACCTTGCACTCAAATAAAAATCCTATAGCCAATAGCAATGCTATGTCACCCTTTACAGGTTATCTTTTCATGCACTCTATCTCTAGTGTAAACAACTGTAACAAAGCTGTGAAGCATTTACCTTAATCTAATGAATCATCAACATATCGCCTTTTTCTTTTTTCTTTTATACAACCATTCTGTTCTAAATACAGCGTATATTAGTCTTTATCAGTAAAGTGACCTTTTACTCTCATTGCCACGTGTCTGTAATTCAATATATGACCCAAAAAGAAGACTGTAAATAATCAAAATTAAAGAAACTAAACAGGCAATATTTTAGTACTTAATAAACATTATTATATACATTTACGTATTAATAATGTTCTACGTCGTAGCATTCCTTATTTTTGTCATGTTACAATATCTTGTACGATATCAAATCGGGAAATGGGCTAATCGGTGACTGCGAGTGCACTGTGTAAGACGCTTATTGCGTTTACTTGTGAAATTCTTGTGAAATTCTTGTGAAATTTCCAGGTATGTGAAGATAATAAAGTAAATTGTGTAGAAATGTACGCAATATCGTTTTATAAATGGTAGGGTATAGTTGAAACTTAGTACGTTACTGTCCATAGAAAGATTACACTTGCGTAGTACAACGTATTCGGTGACAGTAAACGGCAGGTTGCTTTTCTTGACGTCACGTGTTGAGTTCGGTTGGGGGGATCTCGCTTTCTTTTCATCTGTCAACAGTATGGTTCCATGAGTAGTCGTTTTGCTGCATTCTAATGGAAAACAGACGTAATTTCTGTAATTCATCGATTGAATTATCTAAAAATAATACTCCAATGAAAGTTTACGACTGAAAAATTGATCGGCATAACGTTGCCGTTCCATACAATACTTCTTAACCTGTAAAGTGTCGTGACATATACTGCACAGTTAGTGGAGTATAACCTGATTTTAAATGCTAACAAAGTTGTGTAAACTTTAGTGAAATCTTTTTAACACTTAAATAATATTGTATTAAAAATGGCTGGCAAATTGGAACATCTTAGGTAAGTAGAAATTTTCTATACTTCTTTTTATTATACATTTTTTTTTGCACATCTGCTCCTTAATCAAGAATTAAAACTTAAATGATAAATGAAAAATATTGTTACCTTTATTCATTGTGTGTATTCTAATAATTATAATAACGTGTACTTATTATGCATTTTAGGATTTATTTTGTTACATGGAATGTGGCGACTAAGTATCCTGAGGAGGATTTACATCAACTTCTTGATCTTGGTCAAAATAATACATCAAGAAAGTTACCAGATTTATATTACGTTGGGTATATATAAAAGATACATGAAATGTATAAATTATTTAAAGGGTAAATGAATTTACAAATTATATTAGATTGCAGGAAGTCAAAGCTCAACCACAAAACATGGTATTAGATATGTTCTTTGAAGATCCATGGACAAAATCTTTTAGGTGCGCAGATTAAAAAAGTATTTAAATATCAGTGATATTATTTTAAGACTTTAAGAAGCCATCATTTTCTATTAAATCTTTTCAGAGAAGTATTAAAGAAATATGATTATGTGAAAATACGTACACAGCGTTTACAGGGTCTTGTCTTAAATCTCTTTTGCCTGAGAAAACATATTACACATTTAAGATTAATTGAAGCTCAATATACAAGAACAGGGTTTGGTGGCATGTGGGTAAGAAGAAACTTCAATTGTGCATCATTTCTTTCTAATATCTTTAAATAAAAGTGTGTTGTTTTCAGGGCAATAAAGGGGCAGTTAGTATAAGATTAAATATATACGGGGTCAGTATGTGTGTAGTAAATACACATTTGACACCACATGATCATTTATTGGCAGATAGGATTACAGATTATAATACAATACTCACTAACCACAGTTTTAGTAATTCAGATACTTCCAAAATACTATTTCATGAGTAAGTATAGAATTTTAATACAGATTACTACAGTAATATATAACAACTTGTATTAACAATGGTAAGCTTCCAGTTATGTATTTTGGATTGGTGACTTAAACTTTCGATTAAATGGAGCAGACCTAACTGCCACAGATATTGATTTACTAGTTAAAAAGAAACAATTAAAACCTCTGTTGGCAAGAGATCAATTAAAGGCAGTAATGGAGACTGGTGAAGCTTTTGCTGAATTACATGAAAATTCTATTACATTCCCGCCTACTTATAAATACGAATTTTCGTCTCAAGATTTTGATCTCAAGTAAGATGAATTTGTTACTTCCGTAATATGTTTATCATAACTTCTTTCTTACTTATCAATTGTATACGCAGGCGGCGACCGTCATGGACTGATAGAATTTTATATAAAGTAAATGCGGATGTTTATAACGACGTTAAACTTAGCGCTACTCAGCATAATTATAAGAGTCATTTCAGCTACGTACAATCAGACCATAAACCAGTCACAGGAGAATTTGATATTATTGTAATATTACTAATACTGTTATATTAAAAATATTTATGATAACGCTACAATCTGTTAAGTTTAATAAATGAAAATATACTTACAGATCAGACCTACTGTAGAGGATTATGGAGTAGAATTCCAACCTGTGACAGCATGGTTTATAGATGAGGAAAATTCAGTATCGTACAAATTATTAGGAGATGCTAGGCCTGCGAGCGGGGACTGGGTAGGACTTTTCCACAACGAATTTTCCAGTTTAGACGAATATATTGTATATGAATATGTAGGTCAAGGTAAGATTTCATATTAATGTACTTCTTGAATATTATTTTTGCCGGTTTGTGATGAAGATTTATGTTAGCCCTCACAGAGCGAATTTATTTCAACGACACTGCTCTTCGTTCACCAGGGATGTATCGATTGGTTTATGTTGCTCAACGAGGGAATAATATAGGAATTTTAGGTGTTAGTCCTCCGTTTCCGGGACACCATAGACCGGCTTGATAACTTTTTAGATATCTATGTTAACACAATAGCAATTACAGATGATACCTGCTTATGATAGATTTTTAATGTATAGCTGATAAGTTGTTGCAATATGCGCGCATTTAGTTGTCAGACTCATGTGAGTAGCTTCATTCAATTAGAGCAAAACGCGTTATTTAGGTGTAACTGTTTGAGGTCCAACATTTCTTTAACTTCTTATCAAAATCATAAAAGTTATTGACGATTATCTCACTTAAAGGTTTGTAAAGAATGCATTGACTATCTTTAGTACTTTAAATATTTATACAAAAATAATTCTAGAAATTGAGACGAATTATGCTGTCAAAACCTAGATTTATTTGAGGAGTATTATGTTTCTGTGATATAAAAGTTGATCTTAGATGATCAACTGCGACGTGTATATTTTTTAGCAAAGTGATATTACAGAAGCATAATCCTTATTAAAATAACCTCTTTTAGTTCCTGTAATTATTATCTATTTTTACGGAGCAAGTAAAATGATAATTCAATATGGAAGAGGTTGACATGCTATATAATTTTATATCAGAAATGTACAGTTTTACGGAATTGTGATTAGAATAGATTAAGCTGATATATTACTGTATTCTTCAGTAGATAACATATATTTTACAAGATAGTTAATTTTTATTCTTTTACACAGTAAGGATTTTACTTTTAGAATACATATTTTTAATGAATCTTATCTTTTATTTTATGTATTGAATTTTTTATGTATAAAATTATACGAGATTAATAGCATTTATAAATTCAATACTGACACTATCTGCTGAATGATACAGTAATATTTCGTGAAATGTAGAAAGAACATAAACTAAAAATATGTTGCCAGAAGACAACAAACAATCCATATCTCAACCAGTTTCTTGATGTTCAAAAGTTACTTTTGGTACCTGGTTTTTGCTGCTGGGTTATTACCCACAGGCACTAGTGCTTAATTACTTTATGCTACAGAGCTTATAAGAGTGTGCTAACCATTGGTGTAACTAAAATCTTTGTTTAAGGTGTGCCAGGTCATAGTTTTACTATTAGTGTTAACTATTAAAGTGAGGACTTGAAAATTTTCAGAATTTAGAATTTAAAAATTAAGAAATTTGAAAATTTGTAAACTTGAAAATATCTATTTATAATATGAGCTGTCCTGTATCCTTAAGGGTATATAGGAAAGATTTATATTTTGAGACTGTCCACCATGGTTTTAATTTAGTTACGCCAATGATGCTACCGTGTTCTTATGCACTTGACATACGAGCAAGCACCACTTAGATAATAATCAATGTTAGTTTTAGGAAACCTTTTAATTGGGTTGGCGAATTGTTATGATGGTTTGGTTGTACAAACCTACGCTATTTTACTTTTATAGCGTGATAGAAACGCAAAGAAAATGAACAAATATACGCTGTGGTATAAAAAAGGGATACAAAATAAAGAACAATATTTTTAACTTGTTAAACAAATTATTTTAGCCTGTGTAAACTTGAAAAGAATCAAAGGAAAAGAATAAATACAATTTTCTAAAAGAAAACATTTAATTAATTAAGCCTACATAAATAACTTAAATAACAATACAATAAATAACAAATTACAATAAATAACATATGTACTCGATAAAATTACGACATACAGAGTAAATTATTTTCGTCTGTATTTTTCGATCAATTTATCATTAATATAAATAAATAAATCATCATGTTCACACCATTAGTTTCCAGCATTTTTACCATATAATTTTACCTTTTATATAACTGGAATAAATTTCTCGTAAATGCAATGATTTTATAAGTACTGTTCTACTTCTGAAATAATCTCGGAAACTGATGACGTGAACGCGTTACGTATGCAAATTACACACTTTTACTGTACACGAAAGAAAAATGATTTACACTTAAGTCATGTTTAAAATGTATACTAAAATGCTTTTAAAAGCGAGAAATGTTCGTCACGAAGGGATAATTATATGTACAGATTAATCTCCGATGAAATAGTATTAGGTCATTCCATAAATTCGTGCTGTTTTTCGAGCGGTTATATATGTTACGATTATTTACATACCTCAGTTTCATAAAAAAACGTAATCCCCCTCTCGTTGTACAACTTCTTACCATTTTTCTGGTAGGGCCATTACTTCGTCTCGGTAAAAGATTATGATTTTCTACTGTTGAAAGTCATTGTTTTCACTATACTACGATCTTACATCCTCGAAAATCTGCTCGAGACTGTTCTCGATCAGCTGAGCTAAGGTGTATTGGTCACTTTTCGCCGTATGTTTATAAATCGACACATGAAGTATACACAAAAGTCGGCATGCACTTATGGGATGACGTAATATAAAATTTATGAAACGCGAAAAATGAGTTGAGTAAAGACCGCCATTTTGTTGCACTATTCGATTAAGGGGGTACACTTATACTACTTTAAATTTGAAAATAAATGTGTAAATATGCTTCTATTAAAAAGATTGAAATGCTTCGAGTAATTCCCAAAGATAAATTTCCTGTTTGACAAGTGTACTCCCCTAAGGCGTTTATGGTTTTTATCGCAATTATTACGATATCATCGTTGCATTCTTAAGGATAATTTTAAAACATCGTATTTCCCCGTGTAGTACCCAAGGTAGTTTTTAATGAACATCATGAATGACAAGTGATACTATATACATTTTAATAACATTTAAACCTTTAATTCACGATGTGTCATGCACTCGGGAAGATTTTGTATCTCAAAGTCATGGGAAACGCTTTATCGTCGCTGTACAGAATTCGCGGAACATGTGCATTCATTGTAAGATCAACGATACAACCTGTCCGGCTTCCCGCTGTTATGCAATCGGTTGTACAAACATCACAACTTGCGCGTGCTATTGTAAAACGAGTTGTAGATGTTTTTACATAACCGAGTAGTTCTTGAGGAAAATATGCTGTGTCCAAAAAAAAAAAAAACGTAGACACAAGTATCGTATAACAATTCTAAATATGGTCTCAAATGCATACGTTAAATGCAAATCGTTATTTTGTAAAAGTTCCTTTGAATTTATAGTACAATGATTTTTTTTAAGTCTTATTCGATTTTGTAGATCTGCTATTTTCTTAAGTTCTTTCGTTCGTATGAAAGTATGATTTATAGTGATTCTTTTATCTCGTAAATAAATTATTATTTGTAGTAGAAAAGATTAGCTAATGTTATACAGGGTGAGTCATCTAATTTGACTAATTTATATTTACTGTTTTGATATGAGAAATGTTTTTTAATAAACGTTATTAGGAGAGATAATGTAGATATTTTGTGGAAATAGATATAAGTTTGTTTTTTAACTGAATGTTTTCATATATGGTTGTTTTCATATATTTTTTGGAATATTCTGTGTAACATTGAAATAAATTAATATTTAAGATATTGTCAAAGTTATTACTTTTCTGAAAATATTAAGAAAACTAATATGCAAATCTACTGAATTTTATTTCAATTAAATTGACCTTGAAATTCTCTGAGTTATGTTCAAGAAAGTACATAACACATTTTTATTGTAGTAATTAAAGTAGTCAAGTCTGTTAACTCACTCTGTATACCATTGTTCCATAAACGACACAATGATATTCATGTATTTTGTACAATGAGTTGTAAGTATTTCAGAAACGATTTTCATCATTTCATTCCACCCACGCAATAAATAGTGAATCAAAGTCTTACTACTAACGAACCAGCTAAAATCGTGAAATGTGTCCAACATTGGATGGCTTTGCATTGGCGTAACTAGGATTTTTGTTAGAAGTGGAGAAGGGTCCCTACATTTGGGGAGGTGGGGATTTCAGAGTTGAGAGATTTGAAAATTTGGGAGTTGGGAATTTAGGGATATTAGGATTTGTAAATTGGGGGATATGGGAATTGGGGAAGGTGGGGAATGGGGAATGTGGGAATGGGTGAATGTGGTATTGGGGAATGTGGGAATTGGTCAATGTGGAATTGGGGAATGTGGGAATTGGTCAATGTGGAATTGGAGAATGTAGGAATTGGTCAATGTGGAATTAGGGAATGTGGGAATTGCGGAATGTGGGAATTGGGGAATGTGGGAATTGGGGAATGTGGGAATTGGGGAATGTGGGAATTGGGGAATGTGGGAATTGGTCAATGTGGAATTGGTCAATGTGGAATTGGGGAATGTGGGAATTGGGAAATGTGGGAAATTGGGGAATCTGGAAATTTGATATTCGGAAATTTGATAATCTGATAATCTAATCAAATTTACATATTTGAGATGTGCAAATATGTAAGTATAGGAAATTGCATTCTCAGCCATTTAGAAATATGAGAATTTCTAAATTCCTAAACTTAACAATATTAAAAAACTCCAAACCTGAAAACTGTATAACTTCGAAACTTTTAATCGCCCTCCTACTTACGCCAATGTCCCTTCAAAACTCGTAAGCATCCCAAAGCAGATAATTCACTCTTCACAAATACAAAAACTAGTTTCACGGAATGATCGTTTGTCTGGGCGTAGAATCGCCGTTCATCACAGGAAGTAAATAAAGTTCCAAGCTTCTGCTTTCCTGTTCAGCGACGTCCATGCCTCGCAGTTGTTGCACTCGCTGCCAAACGAAATCCCTCGGCGGCCTTCGTAGAACGAACAAACCGAACACAAGGACACCTTGCAGAGAATTCACGAGATCGAAGGTGGACCAGTCTATGGAATTCCCGTGAACGAACCAGGATATCAACTCCATCGTCCAGTTCAGTCCCATCAGAAAGAAGATTATCAAACACACGAAAGTCGTTCTCATGAAACGCCGGAGGAATCTTCGATCTAATCGATCGGATTCTTGATTCCTCGCGAGTCGTCTCAAATCGAGATCCTTCTGATACTTTGTCAGTTTGATAAATGTCAGCACGAAGAGTATCACGTTTCCTAGAAGCAGCAGCCCGACCGGCAGGTAAAAGTATGGCATTGATTTGTCGTTCGCTGCAAAGAAAAAAGGACGAGTATTAAATTTTGTGAGCGATGGTTTTTTTCGAGCAATTTGGGAGATAATTTTGCTAGGGTTTTTTCCTTTTGAGGTAGATATTAACTATGATGACAGAGAGAAATTTAAGAAAAGAATTTCGTGTACAATTAATTTAGCAAAGTAACAAATGGAGGATTTAAATTGTACAGTAAAGGTCATTTTACCTTTTTGAGGTAGATAATTAACAGTAGATAATTGAAGTAAATATTATTTGAATATTAACAATAATAACAGAGAGAAATTTAAGACAAGAATTTCGTGTATAATTAATTCAGCAAAGTAATAAAAGAAGAATTTAAATTGTAAAGTAGAGATCATTTTATTATTTTGAGGTACATAATATGAGGTAGATAATTGACAGTAGATAATTGAAGTAAATATTATTTGAATATTAACAATAATAACAGAGAGAAATTTAAGAAAAGAATTTCGTGTACAATTAATTTAGCAAAGTGATAAAAGGAGAATTTAAATTGCAAAGTAGAGATCATTTTATTATTTTGAGGTAGATAATTGACAGTAGATAATTGAAGTAAATATTATTTGAATATTAACAATAATAACAGAGAGAAATTTAAGACAAGAATTTCGTGTATAATTAATTCAGCAAAGTAATAAAAGAAGAATTTAAATTGTAAAGTAGAGATCATTTTATTATTTTGAGGTACATAATATGAGGTAGATAATTGACAGTAGATAATTGAAGTAAATATTATTTGAATACTAACAATAATAACAAAGAGAAATTGAGGAAAAGAATTTCATGTACAATTAATTTAGCAAAGTAACAAATGGAGGATTTAAATTGTACAGTAAAGGTCATTTTACCTTTTTGAGGTAGATAATTAACAGTAGATAATTGAAGTAAATATTATTTGAATACTAACAATAATAACAAAGAGAAATTGAGGAAAAGAATTTCATGTACAATTAATTTAGCAGAGTAACAAATGGAGAATTTAAATTGCAAAGTAGAGATCATTTTATTATTTTGAGGTAGATAATATGAGGTAGATAATTGAAGTAAATATTATTTGAATACTAACAATAATAACAAAGAGAAACTGAGGAAAAGAATTTCATGTACAATTAATTTAGCAAAGTAACAAATGGAGAATTCAAACTGTAAAGAGATAATTTTACTATTCTTAGGTAGATAATCTGAAGTAGATAATTGATGCAGATATTTAAATATTAACTATAATAACCGAGAGGAATCGAAGTAAAGAATTTCATATACAATAAATTTATCAAAGTAAAAGAAGAATTTAAATACTAAAGTAAATAGATAATTTTATCACTTTGAAATAAATAATCTGAAGTAGATAATCGATAACAAATAATTGAGATATTTAACTATTAACTACAATAGCCTAGAGAACCCCCCAAAAATATCATATATTAATTTAACAAAATAAAGAATTTAAATTCCAAAGCAAATAAATAAAATTTCAGTAAAGTACAAGACCTTCGATTTAGTTAAAAAACGCAGCTATCGCTTATCTCCGATAATCAATGTTTACCTCGTACATCGAAAATGAAAAATGTATTGACTCACATTTGAACTGACAGCTCTCCTTGCCGAAGTTCGATTTCACATAAGTCGCCGGTATCGTTGGGCTGAGATCCATACTCATCGAGACGAGGATAAGTATCACCGAGGGACCCCAACACCATAAGGAGTACCAGAAGAACAACGTTTTTGGCTTCATTCTTCTGTATGTGTCCCTGTCCACGTGGCTGCGCACCAAGGACCACATTTCGATGCACATCGCATTTAGCCAAAAGAAGCACGCGACGAAGGAGAACTGGATGACGAATCCTGGAAAAATTAATTGTTTCTTAACTGATTTCAAACGAGTGTTGATGTTGCTTTGTAAGGTGGCTATTATTAGTTACGTCATATCATTTTATTGGAGTCTATAAATGTGTGATAGACTTGGGGAAAGTTAACGATTCGATGGATATCAAGTTCGTAGAATCTATGACTTTGCAATTTTACGTTTATGTTGGAGGATTTGTGAGGTGGTGCAATGGACTGTCTAGAAGGTGCAATATTTTGAACTAATATTTTAAATGATATGTTTTGAATTGAATGTAAGTGAACGTTTATGTATGTATAGTTTTTTGTAGTTACGTTCTGCAAATTTATATATTATTTTCATATGTACTTGCTTCTATTTATATATTATATAAAATGATGTATGTATATAAATTATATTATACACGTAACACAATATATAATATAAATAGAAGTAATTTTTTATAAAAATGTCACATAAAATGTTGCATAAAAATGTTCCAAACTACATAAATATATGTACATACGTATAATATATGTATAATACATTTATTGTAATAAATAAAATTACAACAAAAATAATACTAAAATCATTATTTCATTTTCATTATTATCAACGATGGCCATTATAGTTATTGTCAATAAATATATTATTAATGCAAAATTTACGTAATAATGTTATAATATAATTTTTTTTTAATTTAATAATAAGACGAAGTTTTTTGAAATATGGTCTTACCTATACTATTGCAAGTTTCGCTCGATAGATGCAAGTTTCCTAATTGCGTGACTGCTAAGATGATAAAAGCCAATGCTAAACAGCCACAGTAGCGGCTCAATGCTTTCCCAAAAACGTCCTTTAATTTTGGAGTAATGGAGTATGCTAGTATGGTGAGAATCAGAAATGGCACGGATACTAGAAGACCGCAGGCGTAGATTGTGATTCGTGAGTCTGCTGACACTATTATTCGATCTGGAACAGTTAAGAGTGTTTATGACATTGGGGTGTATGGAGAAATACTGAAATTTGAAGTTTTGGAAATTTGGGAGATTGAGGAATTGGGGGTAAATTTGGAAACTTGGGAATTTGGGGATTTAGGAATTTGGGAAACTTTGAAATTAGGGAGTTGGGAATTTGGGGAATTGAGAATTTGGAAAATTTGGAAATTGGGGAGTTGTGAATTTGGGAAATTTGGAAATTTGGGGAATTGAGAATTTGGGAATTTGGGAATTTAGAAAATTTGGAAATTGGGGAGTTGAGAATTTGGGAAGTTTGGAAATTCGGGAGTTGGGAATTTGGGGAATTTGGAAATTTGGGGAATTGAGAATTCGGTAATTTGGGAATTTA